CCTTTGGCATGCAGAGGGAGGTACTGGGACCATCCATGTGCCATCCCTGAAGCAGTACTATCACCCACTTTAAGGACAAGGAAGCTGAGGCTCAATGGGGTGGGTGACTTGCTCAAGGTCACCCATTCATGTGAGGGCTGTGAGACTCTGGGGTCTGTGGCAGGGGTCACTCCTCTTAGGCTCAGGGAGCCACGGTGCCTAGCCCAGCTGCTGTATACTGGGCAACTGCTCTCAGGAGAGGGGCTGGCAGGCCACTGGGCAAGAGCCAGCCCACAGCTAGCCAGGTACAAGGCAGAATTTCAACCCTGTAGCTGCTCCACCGAGGCCCTTTCTCTGATCCTTGGTCCATCAATCCGGGCCTGCATCTTACACCGCCTCCCAGGCTGCAGAAGTCTCTGGCCTTGCTGTTAGTTGTATTTATCTGCTGGACAGATGCAGTGGCTGAGGGTGCTGTGGATGCTGAGCAAGTTAAGCTGGGTTCCTGTCCAGGGGGTTCATCCAGAGTCGGCTCTTCCCACCTGTCTGCCCCATGCAACTCTGCTGCTCGTCTCAGGCACCCAAGGCTGCCTCCAGGACCCCGGCCTCCCTACATCACTGTAGAGCCTTCTGGAAGGCAAAGCAATGATCATGTGTGACTCAGAAGCCCCAGGAAGATTCCAGTTTCCAAATATCCCATGCAAATCTCTTAACAAGACTGCAGAGCCCCACCCCACCAGGCCGCACCTCCTGGCCGTGCGTGAAGAAACAGCTCCACATAGAATGTCACTCCTGCCCCTCCTCCAACAGGTGCTTCACAAGGCCCCCTATGCCACTGGCATATCTGCAGCCACCAAGTGTCTGTGCTGTCCATGCCTCACCTCTCCAGCCAAGCCCAGCCCCAGCAGTGCCTGGCAAGTAGCAGGGGTTCAGTCCAGAAGGAAATCTCTCCGCTTTTTCCAGACCTGCTGTAGCTGAGAGATGCCAGGCAGTTCTCCCTGGTCTCTGCCTGCCCGTACCTTCGCTGTGATTTCTCCTTTGCCACTTTGTGAGGAGAGTTCAGAAGCCCTTGGAGGCAGCCTAGGACAGGGCATGATCCCCACCTGTTTACAGGTGAGGAAACAGAGACTTGGGAGGCCAGGGAGCCCAAGGCTGTACATCTGGGAGATGGCCAAGGGCCTCTGGCTTCTGAAAGCTCACAGTACCACTGGACACAGCAACCAGCCATTGCTCAAGCCATTTTACCTGTGCTCTGCCAGCCAGGGGACACCCCACAGTGAAGGGCCCACCTCTGCTGGGAGGAGGGGCTGTGGGGCCTGATTCCCAGCATTGGCCAGGCCTCTATGGGTACCCTTTGGCCACAGGTTAGCTCTAGAAAAACCTGCAAGAGCAGATAGTCATGTGATCTTGCTCCATGCCCCCAACAAGGACACACAGGGCTCAGATGCTGCTGACACTGTGAGAGGAATGCTGACATGGTGGCATCTGTCCAGGGAGACTGAGCCATGCTCTGATGTCCTCACGGCTGTGAATGTATGGAAAAGGGCAGTAGTCCTGAGGGTCCTTTCATGCTGCCCACCATGGTCCCCAGGACTTTGCCTCACCCTCATGGACCTGTGGCCACCTTCTCCTCACACCTGATCTGGTCACATAATGGCCACCCAGAGCCTACACACTGCAAGGCCCATAAATAGAAGCCATACAACACAACAAAGGTATGACCAACTCCACTTCCTGCCTCCTCCTCCTCCTCCAGGAAGCCCTCCCTGCCAGCCAGACCCACCATGAGGTCCTAATATGCTTTGGGCCTGGACCACTCAAGTCAGCCCTATCCCCTTCCTCTCTCCTCCAGCTTTCATGTCCAGGACGGGATCTGCACCAGGGGCTAAGTGCAGTGCCAGCTGCAAAGCAGGCCTACTATGAAATCTCCACTCACACTTGAGGCTGACTCTACACCTAGAAGAACTAAAGAGCAGGGGCTCATGGCCAGGGACCACCCACCTTCATGGGACTGCTGCCTCTCCTTCCAGCATCCCCTGGAGGACTGCCCCTGCCTGCCAGTTCCATATGGCAGCTCATTTCTAGGAGGCTACAAGCTCAGGCTGGAGATGCTGAGTAGGGGCCCTCACCCCACCTAACACCTGCAGTCCAGACCAGCACTGTTCAGTAGAAACATAATGCTAGCCACACACAGAATTTCACACTTCCTAGTAGTTATATTTAAAAAGAAAGAAAGAACAATAACAAAAGAAACAGGTAAAATAAATTTTCATATATTAATCCAATGTGTCCATATATCATTCAACTGGCAATAGAAAGCAACCAATGTCTCAAGACATAGGCTCCAGGGCTCTTTAAATGCAACTTAACCCAATGAAATACTTTGTATTCTTTACAATCTCATGCTCAGCCCAGCTTGGTGTGGATCAGCCACATGTTAAGTATCCAGCGGCCACCATGCTGAGCAGCACAGCTGGAGAAAGAGGCTGCCCAGGTCAGGATTCTGTGATGACCTTGACACAGCCCTGTGCTGTGTGCTCTGCAGTCAGGAGCCTTCTGCCAGCTGCCATTCAGCCCACATGGGGGACTACAGGAAGATAGAGATGTGTGTCCAACCTTCAAGCATGGAGGAGTGTTGGGAAAAGGGACCAGGGGACACTGCAGACAAGCAGAAGGAGGCCTAACCAGGAGTAGGGATGGCTACCCTGGGCAAGCAGCTCCTTGGCAAGGGCCCCATGTGTTGGCAGCCTGTCACCCTATGCCCCATTGGCCCCAGACAGTCCCTGCTGGAGCCTGTTGTCCTGGTTTCCCATTTCAGTCCCCAAACTGCCAGGTGCTCACTGCTTCCCCTTATAGAAAAGTCCAATGCTCAGAGAGAATAAGGAAACTGACAAAGGCATAGAGCATCTAGGTGCAGTCTGCGTTGTGACCTCAGGCCCTAGTGTCCATAGCCCAGAGGCCTGATGGGCTAGCTGTAGACACCAGGGTACAGAGAGCCCACTTTGGAAGGAGGAAGGAGAGAGAGCAGTCCCAAAGCCCTTGTAAGCTACTAGGTAAGAATCAATACAACTGTCTCTCTAACTAGTCTTTGCCCTGGGGTCTGGGCAGAGCTGAATTCTGCAGTTCATCTCCTTTCTAGGTTAGTCACCAGGATAGGGCACAAGCCTTCTCAAGACACAGGCTCCGGGGCTCTTTAAATGCAACTTAAGCCTGGGATTGTTGGCCTTGTCCCTCCTGTCAGAGTGACACCTCTCTGTCCAGGGGTCTATTGGAACAAAGTAGCCACAAAGTGCCTTGCCCACTGGGAAGAAGTGGGTCACAAAGGGGGGGGTCTGGTCCTCGATGTCTCTGCTAAGGGCCTAGGGCTGTCTACCACGTGTCCCCACATTGTTGAAACAGGCTAGAAACCTGGCCTCTGAAAGGCAAATGTTAGCCTTGCCCAGTGGCTCAGGGTGCCACGTCAGCCGGGCTGAAAATCGCCCCGCACCACCGGAGGCTCTGCCTGCTTGGCTGCTCCTTTGCCAGCGTCACTGCAAAGAAGCAGCAGAATCACACTCATTCCTTCTTCCAGGAGGCCTCTCACCCAGGGGCTTTAGCCGCTGGCTACTGCACCCACCGAGGACAGCTGGGCGGGCGGACGTGCCATCCTGGTGTTCTCTGAAAGGAGCTGGGGGAATCCTGGGTCCTGTCCTCCCAGGCAGGAGTGCAGGTGAGCGGGCCAAGCCTGGGTGGTACTTGTCCCCCTGTCAAGCCCATGGGGAAAATGAAGGTACAGACGAGAGCCCCCGCCTCTTCCCCGAAATCCTCACCGAGGGCTGGAGCTGGGCACCCGGCAGGCGATGAGAGGAGCCGCCGGAGGGCGGCCCGCTCAGGGACTTCACCGTGCCACCGGCTATCTCGCGTTCTACGAGTCCCCCGGCTAGGCGGCCGGGTCCCGCGCTCCGTCTGGGGGACTGCGACTCAGGGCGCAGAGAGGACCCCGACTCGCCCGGGAGGAGTCAGGTCGGGGCCGCATGGGAGGACGCTGCAGCCGGGCCGGGCGCCACAAGGCTCCGGGGCCCCCCGCTGCTGGCCGAGGGCCGGCGGGCGTCCTACAGCACCGCCACGTGCGCTAAGGAGACCCAGCTTCGCGAGCCGGGTTAGCCCTAAGCAGCCTGGAGCTCAGAACCCGCGCCGAAGCTCCCGCGTCACCAGGCAACCAGCCGCGGCCGGCGCGCGCGCGTGCGCAGTCAAGCTTCCGCGCCTGCCGGGCCACCCGAGCAGGCGGTGTGGCGCACGCGCAATCGTCCCACCGGCTTCCAGCCGAGTCTAACGGAAGAAGGGGAGGGATGCACCAGCGTCGGGGCCCACTCGGGAGCTCCCGTCTCCGCGGCGCAGCCGTCCTCGGTGGGTGGAGCTGCTGGCTTCGTTCCTTCTGACTATGATTCTCTCTTGGGGTTTTGATTGGAAAATGCTGTCTCTTCTCAGAGAAATCGAGAAAAAAGTGGATGACAGAACCGGCGTAACCAGGGAGACGTTCGGGGGCCACCCCAGCGGGTAAGGCCTGGATAGGTGGGCGAGAGGCGGGGCCACGGGCGTGACGAAGGGGTGGGGTGGTAGCGGGAGGGGCGTGGTAAGGGGGAGTGGCGAAGGGAATGGGGCGGGAAGTTCTGGCGCCACGGGGGCGGGGTAAAGGGTGTGGCCAAGAGCGGGATGAAAGAGTGAGGCGGTGAAATATTGGACGACGATGAGGGGCGGGGCCAAAGGGGCGTGACAAAAGGGAGAGGCAGAGAAAGACGGATGCTGGCAAGGGGCGGGACCAGGGAGCGGGACGAAGTGATGAAAGACTGGACCCTGGTGTGGGGCGGGGCTGGGGGCGTAGCGAAGGATGGGCAGTGAAGGACAGACGCGGCAGGGGCGGGGCTACGGGGGCATGCCTAGAGGATGAGGCGGTGAGAGACTGGGCGAGCCGAGGGGCGGGGCCTGGGCGGGGCGCGCACTGACGTCGGCGCCGGACACGTCGGCCGGAGCCGGATGTGCCAAGATGGCTGCTGCGGCTAGTGTACCTGCGCTCGTCACCGCCGCTGGGTGGGCTCTGGCCCGCAGCCTCTGAGGGGCCAGCCGCGGCCTCGCGGGTGAGGGCCGAGCGGGCGAGGGGTCTGAAGCCGACCGACAGAGCGAGACCGCAGCGGGCGGCGAGCGAGCCCCGAACGGGCGGCGCGCCTCCCGGGACTGCGCCGGGGCCAGGGAAGGCTCAAACCCGGGCCGCCGAGTGCCGGGCCGCCGGCGGCTGGGGCGCGTCCCGGGCGGGCCTCTGGGGCTTGTGGCCATCCCGCCGGCCGACGTGGGCCTGAGGAGCCGGAGCTGGCCCGCGTGGACCTGGTGGTGGCGGCTGCCGGGGAGGGCGTGTTGACAGGGCCAGACAGGGACGCTGCGAAAGAAACCCGCAAGTTTTCAGTAGAGCGCGTCTAGGGGATTTCTGTGGCGGCTTGGCGTGACCCTGGCGTTGAGGGCTCTGAAAATGTTTGGTCCTGGTGGGCCGGAATGCTTTTCCTCAGCGATGCTCCTGTGATCCAAGGGCAGCCTTGTTGATTTGTGATTTCCTGGCAGGGTCATCAGGATGTCGCAAGGGAAGTCGAGGACTGTAGTGCTTTTTATTAGGGGTTAGAGGAATGTGGATATTACAGTGGCTTGTCCAGATGTATCAAAGCCACTTAGAATCAGTTTTTGCTGCTTCACTTAAAAACGTTTTTAAGTGGCTTATAGATTGGGCATGGATTGCTTTTACTATTTCGGTTCAAATATGTATGGTGCGTTATGTTAGCAAGATAGACAGTAGTGGGATGCAAGAGTCACAGATGGTTGTTCCTTAGTGGTACTTTCTCAAGTTTAGCACAGTGCAGCCTCCCTGCAGTTTTTTCCTCATCCCCCCTAGAGTTTCTGTGCTGGTATCTTGAAAAGACAAGAGGCAAAATGGTGATTCATTCTTGTTATTGTGACTTGGTAACCCCTCATAGCAGTTACCTCAGTGAATTTCCAGGTCGTCCTGGAAAAAAGTTTTCTAGGAGATATTGTGTACATCCTAATGTGATCCCTTTTGTTTCTATAAACATCTTCACGAGTGTCAGTGCCCCTGTGGATTTTTATCACTTTTAGCAGCATTTAGACTCCTCAGCTCCCTCTGACATTGCCTTCTTCAACACCTGAATGTCTTTGGTACCACTTCTAACTTAGAAGAGAAGGAATTTATTGTGTGTGTGTGTGTCAAGTATCCCTAGTCTGATAAGAGTGCAGTAGAAGGCACAGTGAGGGAGATTGTAGGCAGAGGATAGTTCATTACTTTTCATTGGTGTTCCTTTTGGCTGGAGGCAGTGAGAGAAAAGTGGGTTTCTGTGCTAAGTACTCCAGTCCCACAGCCAGAGACTTATACTGCAAATAGTCTTGCTAAATATCCCGGTAGCTAGGAGGCAGTTGAGCTAAAGAGCAGGGTTTATGAATAATGCATCTTTGAGAAGATCAGCCACTCTGTCTGAAACAGGTGTCTTTTTTTTTTTTTTAAAGAGAGACTGAGAGAGGAGAGAGAGAGAGAGAGAAAGAGAGAATTTTTAATATTTATTTTTTTTAGTTCTCGGCGGACACAACATCTTTGTTGGTATGTGGTGCTGAGGATCGAACCCGGGCCGCTCGCATGCCAGGCGAGCGCGCTACCGCTTGAGCCACATCCCCAGCCCCAAGAAACAGGTGTCTTTTTGAAAGTTAAAGACTTGCTGAACAGAATAAAAATTTCCATGATCCTGAGATAGATGATAGGTCATTCATTGTTTTACTGTCAATGAGTAGAGAAGAAGATTAAAAGAATAATGTTCAAGTCATAAGATTGCTCCCAATGGAATTGCCATATTGCTAAAAGAAAAAAAAAATCCCAGTTAGGATGCTGGCAGCTGCTCTTTTTAGGTGACTGTTTGCTTATAAAACAGTTGCACATTGAGCAGAATTGAGAAAATAATTGTAAGTTTCTATAAATCGTACAGGTGCAACCTGTGCAATTTAGATTCTGGTAAAATTTCCATATTAAACACTAGTGGAGATTGGGCTGGAATCCACTGTGAGTAGAATCCTATCAGAAAAAAATCATATTAATTCTCTTATTTTATAAATGAGAGAAACTAGTTTGTTGCAGAAAGAGAAGTGCCACTCCACTGGACACCCAGTCTTGTCACAGTAATACCTAATGAATGAATCTTCTAGGCCTCTGCTGTATTTTGTTTTATGTATTTATGTTTTTGTTTTTAATTGTGCAAGGGTGGTTCTTGTCCTGCAGGAACTCCTAGAATACCTGTTTATTCTTGCAGCCATTTTAGGAGGGGCTTGGAAGTCTCTATGTCCTGCCTGTGGGTACAGGAATTGCTGTATACATGGTGGCTCTGTAGCTGGTTGGACAGATGGAAGCGGATGCAGTTCATAGGGAGAAAAGAGGGGGAAGGGAGACTTTGTCTCTACATTGCGTACATCTAAATGATGCTGTAAATGTTCTTTGTTTTATTATTTTTTTAAATAAAAATTGGGGAGGGGGGAGATTGGGTATTGAATCCAGGGGCGCTTAACCACTGAGCTACATCACCATCCCTTTTTCTTTTTTATTTTGAGACAGGCTCTTGCTAAGTTGCTGAGGCTGACCTCAAACTTGGGATCCTCCTGCCTCAGCCCTCAAGTTGCTGGGATTACAGGTGTGTGCCAAGGTGCCCAAGTCTTCTTTGTTTAAAATGACAGTTTAGGGCTGGGGTTGTGGCTCAGGGGTAGAGCTCTTGCCTAGCACATGTGAGGCACTGGGTTCGATTCTCAGCACCACATATAAGTAAATATATGAAATAAAGGCCTATCAACAACTAAAAAAGTATTTTAAAAATAAATAAATATGGGCTGGGGATGTGGCTCAAGCATCAGCGTGCTCGCCTGGCATGCGCGCAGTCCGGGTTCCATCCTCAGCACCACATACAAACAACGATGTTGTGTCCGCCAAAAAAAAAAAGAAAAATAAATATTAAAATTCCCTCTCACCTCTCTCTCTCTCTCTCTCTCTCTCTCTCTCTCTCTCTCTAAAAAAATGTGTTCCTTCCTTTCTCCTCTACTTTCTAAAAAATAAAGAAAGAAAGAAAGAAAGAAAGAAAGGTATTGTGTCCATCTACAACTAAATTTATTTATTTTTTTTAATTACAGTTTAGAACCAAGTGAACTCTCTGGTATTATTTCTTATTGAGTCTACCGGAGTTGAGTGTATTTCAAAGTGCTTGTCAGTTGGAAAGGGTCCCTATTGACATAGGAAGCAGTGGGCAGTTATAATAGTTAATCATTTATGGCACTGGTTTTCAAGTGGGATTTTCATTTGTAAGTGACTTTACTTAAAATGCATACATCAGTTTTTTGGTTTTTTTTTCTGAGTATCAGAAAGATTTCCAAGGACAAAAACAATGTACATCTGGAAAGACATATGAATTGAACTCTGGAGGCCTCCCAAGATTTCTACTTTTAGTTTAATTTTCTTTTGGATTAGTGAAACAAATATGTTCAGGAGGGTTGTGCTGGGGAGAAAGACTGACACCGGAAAGAACTTTCAAGGTGCCAAACTTGAATCTTTGCTTCAAGAGGACATGTTAGCTAGTCAAGATTGCACCTGCTGAATTCGGTTCTAAAACAAATAACGGAAAACAGTATGGTGAGGATTTTTACCCTTTTGTTTTCTAGAAGAGTTTCTGTTGTGCTAGCATTTTTTCCTATTGGAAATTTTGTGATCTAGTCATTTGGAAAGTTAGAAAGCTATAGTAAATTTATCAGCCTGGTTATAACTTCAGTGGTTAGAGGCAATGTCATTTCACTGTTACCAAAGGAAAAACCAGGCATTATACAAAAAACAAGACCTGTATATGGTGAGAAAAAAGGCATTTAGTAGCTTTTGTAACTGTATTTTTTTTTCGAGGGAATTTTTTAATATTTATTTTTTTAGTTTTTGGCAGACACAACATCTTTGTATGTGGTGCTGAGGATCGAACCCGGGCCGCACGCTTGAGCCACATCCCCAGCCTGTAACTGTATTTTATAATACTTTTTCATTAAAGGAAGCGGAAGAGCAAAGTTTAAACTCTGTTTTCTAGATTTAAAGTTAACATGCATGAAAAGTATGATGTGTAGTTTTTCTTTCTTTTTTAAAAAATATTTATTTTTTAGTTACAGGTGGACATAATATCTTTATAATATAATAATATCTTTATATGTGGTGCTGAGGATCGAACCCAATGCCTCACGCATACTAGGATACCTTTCTAACTCTGAGCTGCAACCCCAGCCCTAATCTGTCTTTCTTACTAGTAGGGTTGGCTTTTCCTGCATCTGGTGAGGTGCACAGGGGAGTATTGAAGACCAATGGGCATTTTCTGGCTATGTGTCAGACTGGAGGTCAGGCTCACCTTGTCTAGCGCATGTGAGGGTCCAGAGAGTCCTTGGGCAGGCCAGGTAGGGAATGCAGAGGGGCAGGGGCTGTCTGAACTCTCAGCTAGCTGATGTCCAGGCTGTCAGTGTCCTTGTTTTATCTACTTCCAGAATTCTCCAGGGCAGTTCCCGAGGACAAACTTTCTCTGCTGGGGTGGGTACATGGGAGAGATACAATCCTTAGGATTTAAATAACTTGAAGTCATGCTTAATTCTTTTCTTTTAAATACTTTTTCTGATTGATATCAGGACTTTGAACATATGGGTTTTATGTTTATTTTTCCTTTTTTCTTTTTCAGCTCAGATTAAGAAAAAACTCTACCCTGCCTTCTCTGTAAGCAGCATCTCCTTGTGCAAGAGGTCCATTATGCAGCCACCACCCCAGGCAGTCCCATCTGGCATGGCTGGACCTCCTCCGGCTGGGAATCCTCGGAGCATGTTCTGGGCTAACAGCCCTCACAGGAGACCAACCAGTAATAACATACCAGTGACTCCAATAAGTTTCCCATTGCAGCCAGTAACAGATCCGTTTGCTTTTAGTAGACAGACGTTCCAAAATACACCATTGGGTGGTTCCTCTAAAAGTGACCTGCCTGTTTTGCATAGCTCAACCCTCCCAGCATTTTCTCAATGGCCTGGTTTGCCTGTGCCTCACACAAATGCCGGGGATAGCTCCCAAGGACCCTACGAGCCTCTGCCAGGACCTCTGTCACAGCCTGGGCCAGAGGCCAGTCTCCTTCCTACTACATCCATCTCTTCTCTGCTGCCTGGGCCTGAGATGAACAGGAATTCGGAGGTTGGCTCCACCTCAGGGCCTGAAGTTCAGACTCTGCCACATCCACCTCATTACATTCCAGGAGTGGGTCCTGACCAGTCTCACGGGAGCCATCTGCATGGGAGTGGGTCTGGACCTGATCAACCCTTGAATAAGTATACCCCACAAGATGGTGCGCTGGTCCCAGCAGCATCCCCTTTATTCTCCCAGCCTCAACAGATGCCAGGTCAGGGGGTACCAGTGTGGGGAAGCCCACAGCCCTCCCATCAGCACCACTGCCCCTGCCCAGCAGGACTTGTTCAGAGCATAGGACCCCAGGCTCCCAGTGCTCCCCATTTTCCTGCTCCTTCCAACCTGCACCATGGTCTTGGCCAGGAGTCCCATAGCCCACTCGTGTCTCCTCCAGAACCTTTGGCTGCTGGTGGAGGGAATGAATCAGTCCGCCTGCCTAGTGGAAACCACTCAGCAAGTAACTTGCATCCTGAACATGCGCTGGGGCAGAATTCCAGAAGCAGGAGTACATGGGCAAGCCAGGAATTCAGACAGAATCCAGCAGCGAATAAAGAGCATTTGCCAGATCCTGCCATTGTCAATACTCTCACTCAGGGAAATAGCCCCGAAAACCACGTGCACTATCCCTCAGCGGCTGGGAGTAGTCGGTCCCCTCCAGAAACAGGCTCAGGAGTGCTCTCAATGTTTTTCCAAGGAGAAGAGACAGAAAATGAAGAGAATCTCTCATCTGAAAAAGCCTGCTCCTCTGGGAGGTTGGGCTTCGACGATTTCTCCTCCAGTCCTGCACTGGGCCAGCCACTGCCCCCTGCACACGTAGCTGGTGGCACCTACCAGGCCTTTCCCAAAGGCCCCAGCACTGAGGCCACACAGCAGGAAGGAGACACACAGTCATATTTTTCTCACTCTGCAGGAATCCATCATGATAAGCAGACCAGTAAAAGTGTTGCTTCTGTTGCCTGGGGTGATGCAGACAGTGCTGGGGCTCATGATGCCAGTAGCTCGCGATGTGAGAATGTTGAGAACTTAGAATTCATTCAGAATCAAGAAGTTCTGCCAAGTGAGCCTGCAAGTTTGGACCCTTCCTCTCCCAGTGACCAGTTCCGACATGGGCCCCTTCCCGGACCAGCTGTGAGGCAGAGTGCTGTAAGCCTCACCAGAGGTGGGGGGCTGAATCTCGAGGCTCCTGAGGCACCACTGCATCCCACACGATCTGACAGTGTGTCATCCAGCTATGGCAGCCAAAGCCATAGGAGTCTTCCAGGGTCAGCCAGATCACAAGAGTCAGTGGGCACGTTCATTCAGCAAGAAGTAGGAAAACCTGAGCATGAAACCGCAGGAGGCTTTTTTAAGCAAATCGGTTCTTCTCCTATAGGAGGTGAGACAGATGAGACCACTGGAAACCAGAATTACCGGAGCAGCCTGTCCCAGCCCTCTACCCCAAGTCCCCCGAAACCTACAGGGATATTTCAGACAAGTGTAAATAGTTCTTTTGAACCAGTAAAATCCCACTTAGTTGGGGTAAAACCGGTTGAGGCAGATCGAGCCAACGTGGTAGGTGAAGTGAGGGGGAGCCGAGACTGCCAGAAGCAGCATAGACCAGCTGCTGCTCCACCTGATGCCTCCCCAGGTAACCTGGAGCAGCCACCAGATAACATGGAGACACTGTTTGCACCCCAGGCCTGCTCTCTGCCTCATGCCACCACCACAGAAGCTGGGTATTTGCTTCCGCACACGGTGGGGCCACCTTTGGATGCTGGGCGCCCAACACCTGAGAAGAGGCCCTCAGCCAGGGCCCAGGGGGCCACAAAGTGTGAGAGCCCAGCAACGACTTTGTGGGCACAAGATGAGCTGCCAGATTTTGGTGGCAATGTCCTTCTAGCCCCTGCTGCTCCTGCACTTTATGTTCCTGCAAAACCTCAGCTGTTGGCAGTTGTGCAGCCTCCAGAAGAGGGGGTATCTATGCAGCAGTTGCGGAAGCCAGCTTCTGCCCAAGTTTTGCAGAGTCGAGTTGGTCTTGGTGCCTCTGAGAACCTTGAGAACCCTCCAAAGGTGGGGGATGAGGAAACCCTGCAGTCCCAGGCAGGTTCTGGTTATGTGAGTTTACTGTCCTCACCACCCACTGAGTCTCTGCAGAATCAGCCCGTCTTGATCGCCCAGCCTGATCAAAGCTATAATTTGGCTCAGCCCATTAATTTTTCTGTGTCCTCACTGAATCCTAATGAGAAGAATCAGTCCTGGGGAGATGCTTTGGTGGCAGATAAATCCGCAGGAAGCAACCAGGCTCTTAGTGGTGATTCTGGAGAACATGCTGCTTTGTCTAGGGTTCCAACAAGTGCTGTCACTGGCTTATCTCTGCCAAACAGTCTTACCCCGAGTAATGTCCCACATAGTTCTGGGTCTTCTGAAATGGTTGCTAATCAGCCTGCCAGTTTGCTGGTTCAAACACCACCTCATCCAGTTCCAAAGAGTATGCTTCCAGAAAGTCAGAATGCTCACAGTTCAGCAAAGGTCCTTCCTGAGTTTGTCAGCAGACCTACGGGAAGCACAATTGCGTTGTCAGTTCCACCCACTCACGGTACTTCGGTATTTGGTAGTGATGAGGCAAATTCCTCCAGTAATCGGGAAGAAACTGTCGGTACTCTAGACTTGACTTTAAGTGGAGCTTCAGGAAATCCTGTGAGAGTGTACAGCCCATCCCATCCTGATGGCCCAGCTTCCCAACAAGCCATTGCCAGTCATCCCAGACAGCCTGGGCCTGGGGCTCCTAACCCAGATCGTTTCTATCAGCAGGTGATGAAAGATGCACAGGACCAGGCTGGCATAGAAAGAGCCCAGCCAGAGCTGGTACCTCCCCAGCCCCAGGCTTCTCTCCAGCATGTGCCCCAGGCGGCGTTTCCAGAACCTTCAAATCCAGAAAGCCCCTCCATACAAGGACAGTCCAAAAACTCAACCCAGCCACCAACAAGCCCAGCCCCAGCTGAAACAGGTCAGAAGGTGCCTCCTCGGCCACCTCAGTCGTCCAGTGCGTCAGCTGTGTCCACCAGCTCAAGTCAGGCAGCCATCCGTTCAGAGCAGCCATGGCCGCACCCACCTGCAAGTGCGTTTGGCCCGCCACCTCAGGACCTGGCATCCTACTACTACTACAGGCCACTGTACGATGCTTGCCCACCTCAGTACCCGCCGCCCTACCCTCCAGAAGCTGGGACGGCCTCCCTCTATTACCAGGTAGAGTTGTTTAACCATCTATCTGCCCTCGCTTTGGCTTGTCAGGTTTCTTCCTCTTGTGGAACCCTCCTCAGTGGTGACTTCTCTGTTTAATTTAGACCCAGTCAGTGCCTCTGAGAAAAGTCCTCCTGGGCTATGAGCACAGGCCCTATCTTAGAGGTTCCTATTGAATGTTAGAATATTGGATTATGTTTAATACCAGCATTATGGTATTTTTGTGTAACCCAGTGTCCCCAGGTTACATGATAAAAAGAGCCTTTGTTTCCTGGAACCTGTCAGCTTACTGCAGAGTCAGAGCTCTGCAATGCACACTTGGGAAGCCAGCCTAGCCTCTGGAGCTTTGCATGGTTTTAAACAAAAACACCAATATAAGAAGTGACAGGAATAACCAGAGAGTTGTTATCCTCAAGAATGAAAATATTAAGGAAAACCCACGTGTGGAGTAGTGGGGAGAGGTGGGATTCCATAACTCCTTTCAAATGTGTGGTGATTCCACAGCGGAGGGGGAAGGTCCTGCCTTGTTCTTTCCTGTCTTTGCAGTGCTGCTAGCTGCTGACTGCTGTTTATTTTAGGTTGCGTTTAATTCTGCGATAGCTTGAAAAAGTATAGTCCAAGTGGTTATTATCTGCTTTTCCTCACCTCTGTCCAGAAGGGTAGCATTGTGTTATGGAGAGTTTGAAAATCAGCCTGCTGTATATGGAGCCTGGCAATATTGAACTCTTGTGCTGCCTGAATTCTTGGCCCCTGGTTGTGCAGGAGGGCCTTGATAGGGAGGGGCCTGGGGAGCAGCGTTGGGCTGCCTGTGGCTGTGGCTTGCTCTCTCTCCCAGGGCTAGAACATCACCAGTGATGTATGTGTGGGCACTTGCACATTGGCCCAAAACCATTTTTTCCTTTTGTTGCCGCATCTCTAGTAGGTGGTCAAAATGAATCTGTTTCCCCCAATTCCATGTTACCTGCCAGGTGACTGCAAAGGTGCGATATTCAGACACAGGAGGATGCATTTACTGGCACCTACACATGCCTCTCTTCAGACCCTCTTTAGGCCCTCCTCATGCATCTGCTCTCCTTCGTGACTAGGTCGAGGCCCGGATTATTTTGTGATAGGGCTGGCAGTTTCTTAGAGGAAGTTATAAGGCTCTTTTTGAGGCTGCCCTTGGTTGTAGGACCCCTGGCTCTGTTGCTCACTGAGTGGTGACCGAGGCAGGCCACACACTTGGTCAGACACAGTCCCTCAAGCAGTCTGCACAGCCCTTCCAGGCTGCCTGCTGACACACTAGCCTTCGGGCCCCTCTGTGCTGTCTCCTGAACGGGGCCTGGGCTGTCAGTTTGGGGAAGGCCTTGCAGCCTGCCTGGGGATATGAACTTCGCCTTGTGGTTTCATCTGATGAGGAAGTCTGCTTTCGGCCCTGCTTTTGGAGGGTGGTTGTCTATAGAGTGCGTAGAGCTGGAACTGGCTGCTCTTGATTGGAATCCTGACGGTCCCCAAAACTTCTTCCCACAGGATATGTACGGCCTGTATGAACCTCGATACAGGCCCTATGACAACTCAGCACCCGCTTACACCGAGAATTACCGCTACTCGGAGCCTGAGCGACCCAGCTCCCGAGCAAGTCACTGCTCCGACCGGCCCACTCCCAGGTAGGAGCTGCGTCCCTCACAGCACTAAACTCTTGCACCCAGTCATGTGTTTTGTGTCTCTGGCTGTAATGGTAACTTAGTGATTGCCATGTTCTGTATCTGTAAAGAATTGTGCAAACCTCTTTTAACACATGTTCATTCATGTTCATCAGCATGGCCAGATGTGTGTTTCAGTTTAATTAAACACACTGCCACATGCAGTGCTAGTGGAGCTGGTCAACTGGTATTTGGCCACCTCTGTACTCATGCACTCCCTGCCTCTAGACTGGTGATTTCTTCCTGTCAAGTGGTCCTTGCTCAAGCAGTTTGCTGATAGGTGATTAGGGTTCTTAGACTATGGCCATTTTTTTTTTTAAAGAGAGGTGGGGGGGAGAATATTATTTATTTTTTAGTTTTTCGGCGGACACAACATCTTTGTTTGTGGTGCTAAGGATCGAACCCTGGCCACACGCATGCCAGGCGAGCGCACTACCGCTTGAGCCACATCCTCAGCCCAACTATGGCCATTTTTAATTGGCGCAGACTTCTCCAGAGTTTCAGACACCTGGAAGAACTGGCCACAGAGACAGCATAATCCTGGGATCTGTCAGGCAGCTCCAAAATGCAGGACCTGAAAGCCTATGTCCTGTGCCTGATGGCCTTCTCTGCCAGAAGGCCTGTAAGTGTCTCTGGCCTGCATGTCTCCTACACTGGTGGTCCCTGCCTGTTTTGCATTTGCAGAGGAGATATCTAGAAAGAGCCATGGCATCATGCCTTCCCTGAGTAAACTTCCTGCAGGTCAAAGTCTGCCTGCAATCCTCAAGCCAAGAGACTGCTTCTGATCTCTATCCCTCAGAGTTGTTAGCGGAGATGAGTGAAGTAGTGGGGAGTGGATCCTGGTCTCTGCTGACTGTGCCGTCTCAGCTCAGTCATTGTTCCTTGTCAGGCAGAGTGAAGGAGTTTTGCCTCACAGGAGTAGGCTTTGTCACAGGGCGTGTTGCTGTAGACTTAGCAATGTACAGGAACGTGGTCCAAAAGCAAAAAGCTCCAACACTTTACATGTGCTTTCTTTCAGAAGTGTCTGAATACTGATCCTTTGTGGCTTTCTGGTGATTTCTTGGAAAACAGAATGCTGTGCCTGTGAACCTTTGCCCATTTAGCAGGCCCCTGGGCCCCTGGTTGTAAAGGCACACACCAGTGTGTAGGCGTGAGTCGCTGGCCATTCCTGGTGCTGTATAAAGCATGAGGACACTGACACTGGCTTTCTGTCTCCCAAGACATTCTGGACAAGGGGTGCAGCTCAGTGGTGGAGCAACTGCATAAGCCTAAACAGGGCCCTGGGTTCCATCCTTAGCATTGCAAAATAGAGACTTGGTTGTGATAAAACTTCAGGGCCATGCCACCTGGGAAGCTGGGCATGGTGATAGATTCTGGGCATGGTGGTAGAGAGCTTATTGATTCAGAGCCTGTGAGGGGAGAGAGTGGTTCCTAGAGCCCAGAGGGAGCACACAGAGGAGAGCAGAGCTGGGTGAGCTTCTCACCTCCCAGTGTTCCTTCCACTTGCCCACCTGTAGGACCACTTGTAAAGTAAAGTGGGAGGAGGGGGCTCTGTGCCCTGGCAGACCTCTGGGACAGGCAAGGCCAGGCATCCACAGGGTGGATTCATCCCTGTGTCACAGCCTAGAGGGTAATTTCCTCTTCTCAGCCTTGCTAGGGTGTGTGCACATGCATTCATGTATAGTGTTATGCTTACCTTGAGTGTTAGCCACCTACCTTCAGTGTTAGCCGTTCCCTCAGCCTGTTGGCTGGTAGCTACAGGATCTGTGCATGGTCAGGACAGTCTTCTGTGGCAGTGTCCTTCCTGAAGGGTGGGCAGGTGGTGAGGTCAGCTGAGGAGGTGGCGTGCTCTTGGTTTGGCTCTGTCAGGCCACTTTTCTAGGACCACTGCTCTGCAGACGAATGTGATCATGTGTGGCCAACTAGACTGAGCAGCCGAACAAGCAGAAGGGAATGAATGGCTGGACCTTGCTACTGGTGCTGTGCCAGCCAAGCAGTCAGATGTGGCTCAGTGACACTCCTGAAGGAGTATGAGAAAAGCCACATTAAAAAAAAAAATGACTATTAGAATAGTCAAATACACTATTAAGTCCTTTTAAGAGTCCTAAAAGTATCAGAACCTATTATACTTGATCATTTTCTGAATCCCACCTTTCTGATAGAGTCAGGGTTGTGGCTTGGTTTATCCAAAGGAATGCATGCCAGGCTCTTCACAGCCGGTGCTCCCCAGGCCAGGGAGAGTACATGTGGCTAGTGATCTGCTGTAAAGGCTAGTGAAATTGGCATTTTAGGTTGATCTTAGGCCCAGCACTTTTTCCTTTTTCTTAGTACATCAAGAACTCTTACAGGATGAAGCCCTGAGAACACAAGGGTTGTTTTTCTTTTGCTGAGCCCTGTTAGTGAATTTGCTGAGCTGTTTCAGTTAGCCACATGATGGGAATCCATAATCTCATTCTCTGTTTTGGATCTTCTAATCAGAACATCCTTTTTTCTTTCTTTTGGTACTGGAGATTGAACCCTGGGGCTATTTGCTTTTATTTTGAAACAGGATCTCACTAAGTTGCTGAGGCTGGCCTCAAACTTGAAATCCTACTGCCTCAGCCTTCCTAGTTGCTGGGATTACAGGCATGCCCCTGTATCTGGCAACCAAAGCACTTTGATGAATGTCAGTTTATGTACTTTGTATTGACTGCTGTCTTAGGTAATGTGGTTTTAACAGCTATGTGTTTTTCAGGCAAGCATATCCTGAAGGGTACTATAATTCCAAGAGTGGATGGAGCAGTCAGAGTGATTACTATGCAAATTACTACTCGGGCCAGTATGATTACGGAGGTATGTGGAGGAATTGCAGCCACTGGCTGCTATGTTGTCAGAAGGCTGCTCCTTAGTGGGCAGCTGTGTCTGCACTGTGCTTTCCTGGATTAAAGGAGCTGACTTCCTTTTCAGTAGCTTCTTTGTGTTTTCATCCATGAGCCAAGGTCAGTGAAAGTTCTGTGCACCTGAAGGCACATGTGTCTTCACTGCAGCCGAGGGGGCTCTGTAGTATTGGTAGTGGTCCCTGATGTTTTAGAAGAGTGCAGTATCAGCAATTCTGGGCTGTCTTGTCCATTTGTGACTACTCTGTGAGCTGATGAAATGAAATTAAATAAAAACTCGCTCTCCATTCCCACCAGTCATGTCTGTGTGCTCAGAGACCACCCAAGGCCTACCACTTGGCAGTGATGAACATAGATGGTGCTATCATGGCAGTTGGAGATGCTTTGCCACCTCTCAGGCAGCCTGGGTGGCACATGGCCACCATTAGTAGCCCTGCTGGTTACGTCTGCCCTAGCCACATACTCCTGTGTTTTTAGGGCCCTGCAGCCTCTAGATAGTGCCCACGTGACCCACCCTTCCTGCTTCCAAAAGGGTTGTTTTGCTCCTTGAATGTGTGTTCCTGCTTTAAATAGACATTTTGTACACACTTGGCAAAAATGGTACATCCATATCCAGTTTGTTCATAGTGTTCCTTTTTGAAGTTGTTTTATTTTGGGGGGGTTACTGAGAAATCAACTCATGGGTGCTATATCCCTGAGCCACATCCCCAACTCTTTTTATTTTTTACTTTGAGACCAGTTTTGCTAAATTGCCCAGGCTAGCTTTGAACTTGCATCCTCCTGCCTCAACTTTGTGAGTAGCTGGGATTATAGGCCTGAAATTACCTTTTATTATTGAGATTATTTCTTAACATCTTCTGGGTCATATTAGGAAGAAGTACTAGTAAAATCTAGACTCAGGGATTAACTATTAAACAGTGGCAGTTGGTTCTGGGGATAGAGCAATGGTAGAGTGCTCTCATGGCATGAGGTGTCATGGAGACAGGCAGGACACAGCCTTCTCCTCCAGAGTCAGGGCTGCCACTGAGGGGTCTTCCCATCCCAGAAGGAGGCTGTGGTTCCTTGAGAGCCCTGGCACTTCCCCAGCCTGTGACAGTGCAGTTCTTCCATGAACTCTGGCTTTCTTTTGATCCCTGCATTCCTCACTTACAGATCCAGGTCGCTGGGATCGCTACTACGGTTCTAGATTCAGGGATCCCCGCACTTGGGACCGAAGGTACTGGTATGATGCTGAGTATGACCCACACAGGAAGGAAAGCTATGCTTATGGCGACAGGTGGGTAAAGTGCACTTGAGTCAGGAAGGCTGGCAGTATGCCGGGGTGTATGCTTACCCACCCACCCCCCATCCTCAGAGCTGGCCAGAGAGCTGTAGTTTCCGGCCTTTGGGGAGCACTGCCTACTGATTCAGTCTTGATCTCAAAGAGGGAGGCTGGGCCACACCTCTCTGGTGCTTCCAGCTCTGAGCTATGAAAGGAGAGCCAACCTGCAGTAGTGCCTGGCCAGTGGCTTGGAGTACTAGGGGGCTGGCTCTCTCTTTTTTGGGTCCTTTCTTGTCTGTCTGACCAACAACCCAGAAAAGGGCTACACTTGAGGTGCGCTTGTAGTCAGGGTCTGAGTGTGACCTTGGGCCTGGCTTCTTGTGCCTGGTCTGCTATAACTAACATTCTTTAGGATGAGAAGTGTGCCCCGGTATTGAGGGTAGGGCGGGGAACAGTGAGGGCCAGCAACTGCATGGTGTCCCAGTTTCCCTTCTCACTCCCATTCTCTGCCTTAACCCCTCTTTCCTTTAGGCCTGAGAAATACGATGACCACTGGAGGTACGACCCTCGTTTCACAGGTAGCTTTGATGATGACACTGAGCCCCCCAGAGACCCTTATGGGGAGGAGGTGGATAGGCGCAGTGTCCACAGTGAGCACTCAGCCCGGAGCCTGCGCAGCGCACACAGTCTGCCCAGCCGCCGCAGCAGTCTCAGCTCCCATTCCCACCAGGTGCGTGTGGGCAGTTCTGAGGACCCAGTTCCCTGGTGTAGTTGGATGGTGTGCCCACAACCTTACCAGCCTCGATGGAACTCACTATCTCTGTTGCTTTCTTTTCCAAGAGTCAGATTTTCAGAAGCCATAATGTGACTACTGGTTCCTTCGAGGTCCCGCCTCCCCCAGGCTCCTTTCACGGCGATTATGCCTATGGCACCTACAGCAGCAATTTCGGCAGTGCCCATGGCTTTCCAGAGTACAGCTATCCTGCAGATACTGGCTGGCCTGCTGTGGATCAAGGTTTGTCTCAGCAGTTCAGAGGGTGATGGCCAGCTCTGAACCAGAATGAGGGACTCAGTTCTGAATGTGATGGAGATCCATGAGCACTTGCTCACTCAGCTCTCTGCAGCCTGAGGACGGCTCTGTCCCCTCCTATCTTGAGTGGCAGACTCAACAGACTAGTCCTGGCCCCTGGATTGCAGTGTGGCTCTGGCTCTGAGAGCTGCCAGCCCATCTACACATGCGTTGTTAAAGTGTAACAGCCACTAGCCAAGCTTGGGTGGCAGCTCTCCATACCTCCGCACTGGCCCTGTGGGGTAGCGGTCTCAGGGAACTGTTCCTGGACTTGTGCCATGAGTCACACTCTAACCTTCTCTCCAGAGTCCTTGATTAAAAGCCGTGTCTTGAAAACACGCAGAAATATGTGCAAAGTTGTCAGGTGTAACAGTGCCTCTCTTTCTAGGATAAAACCTCACTTGAGTTAAGCCTCATTTCCTGCTTGAGGTGCTTGACTGCCATTTCCGTTGGTTGCTCTGTGGCCATCACAGATGGAGAAGGAGCTGGTCAGGGGACTTGGGAGCAAAAACTCTAAGAAGTGATGAGCTGATTGTTTCTTTTCTGATTTATTTAAATGTAGTTCCATCAAGACCAACTTCTCCTGAAAAGTTTTCAGTGCCTCACATCTGTGCCAGGTTTGGTCCTGGTGGTCAGCTCATTAAAGTGATCCCCAACCTGCCTTCGGAAGGACAGCCTGCCCTGGTGGAGATCCACAGCATGGAGGTAATACCAGGGACTCAGCCAGCTCTGTGTGCCTCTGGTCTGACATCAACTGCCGCTCATGTCTCCACGAGCATGGCTGTGGGATGTGTGTCCTCGGGGTCTGTTCTGTTTGCAGCTTCTTCCTCCCGGAAGGCAGCGTTAGGCAGCTGTTTTGGGGTTGGACTTGGTTTTATTGTGTGTGCAGTTTTTGTCCTTAATCACACCTTTTGACTTTGCGGATGCTCATTTTATCATTGATTATCTGTAATGGATGGGGTGCTTCACGGACCAAATGGTGGTGGGGGGCTACTGTAAGGGAAGCTTGGTGGGGAAGGCCACCAACCAGCTCTACGGCCCTGAAGGCTCTCCTGTCACGTGTTGGGAACCTGCATCAGTTCTTACTGTAGGAGGAAGTTCGCAGACTCCCGTCACAGCCATGAGAGCACCCTCTTTCTATGTGGGGGCTAGTGTGGTGCCATGCTGGGTGGGGCTGCCTGTGCAAGCTGCTCCCTACGTCCCTCTCATTACAGACCTTGCTGCAGCACACGCCTGAGCAAGAGGAGCTGCGCTCATTCCCAGGGCCGCTTGGCAAGTATGTACCTTGTCAAGCATCACTCAGGTTCTGCACAATACAGCTGCAAAGCTTGCCCCCAGGTCACTGACCTTGCTGGCACTTGACCTGGCACTTGCTCTTTTCCAGAGACGACACCCATAAAGTGGATGTTATTAATTTTGCCCAGAACAAGGCTACAAAATGTTTGCAGAATGAAAATTTAATGGACAAAGAGTCTGCAAGTCTCCTTTGGAATCTCATCATTCTGCTGTGCAGACAGAATGGGGTGTGTTACTTCTTAAGTCTTCCATGCCTGTCCTTGTTGGTCTTTGGTCTTAGGATCTGTTCCCCTGTTTGCATCCCAAGCTTGGGTTGGAGGCCTGCTGTGACATGGCTCCCTCAGGAGGGTCCTCTTAGTCGTGACCTGGGGAAGGAGAAGTGGGGGCGTCATCTGAGGTCTCAGTCCTAGGGGGCTTTGGGCCCACCGTATCTTTGGCTATGTCCTCGCTGGAAAATTGGGTATGCAGAAACCTGGCGAGGACCCTTTCCTGACTGTATGGGGATTGTCTTGTCATCCTGCTGGCAATTCTGTTGATATGAAAGCCTTTAGTTGGCTCTCTGTGCCATCTCTGTGCACCCCGTAGACCGTGGTGGGAACAGACATCGCAGAGCTTCTGTTGCGTGACCACAGGACGGTGTGGCTCCCAGGGAAGTCACCCAACGAGGCTAACCTGATAGACTTCACTAACGAGGCCGTGGAGCAGGTGCAGGAGGAGGAGTCTGGTGAGGCCCAGCTCTCGTTTCTCACGGACAGTCAGACTGCCAGCACCAGCACGCTGGAGAAGGAGACAGAGAGGTTCCGAGAGCTGCTGCTCTATGGCCGCAAGAAGGTGAGCCATGGCCGTGCTTAGGACCGTGGGGCTTCTCGCATCCACCTGTTGGCTTGGGTGCTGGGCACTAAGGAGAGACCAGCCATTCTCCCAGGAGCATCAGCAGCTCTGCTAGGTTACGGCAGCAGGTCCTCTGTCAGACAGGGTGTCCCTGAGGACATTGGTGGTGTCTCCTTCCACACAGTGCCATGGTGAGAGCTTGATGGATGGGCGTGCGTTCTGCGTGCTGCTCTGCTTGCTGCGCTGCCGTGTCTCAGGGTTGGCAGGGTGTTGCAGATGAGCCTGCTCTCACCAAGTGAGGCCTCTGTCCCTAGCTCCTGCAGTGGGCAGTACTGGGTGTTAGGAGGAGGTGCCGAGTGCATGGAGGACAGGATTGGGTTCTAGAGCCATGGAGGCACATTGGCACCCTGTCTGTGGGCTCTGGTTACATGAATGGAGGGAGGGGCCAGGGTGATGGCAGTGGAGACAGTTTGGCCGCCCAGGAAGGCTGGGCCTAGGGAGAAAATGTCCTGTACTGGAGGTGCTAAGGGTGAGAATCACTTTGAACTAGCCCATGGGGCCCTGCACCACTCAGAAACTTCATATTTTTGTTTTGGTGCTGGGGATCAAACCCAGAGCCCTGTGCATGCTAAGCACATACTCTTCCAATGGCTGTACTCCCAGCCTCCTAAGCTCTTTTTTTTGAGATAGGGTTCTACAGTGTTGCCCATGCTGTTCAAACTCCTGGGCTCAAGTGATCCTCCCTCCTCAGCCTCCCAAGTATCTGGGACTACAAACACATGCCATCACTCATGGTGAAAGCTTGTATTTATTTGATCAACAGGATTTTAACTTCACAATTGAATGAAATTGTGTAAACTATTAGCATTTTATTATACTTACCTCTGTGGTAACATTTTTGTGTCCTAGCTTAAGTGCAGAATTATACTGCTGGTTGCTTTGGGTGCAGCGAAAGTGCATTCATGAAGGCACGGTGTTGTGAGGGTGTCCTTGGAGACTTGTGTGTCATATGGATTGAGGAGTGGGTGCTGATGTGGCCTTCCTCACAGTGCACAGGCTGGTCTGGGGTGATGCTGCCTTGGGCCCTGACTAGTATGACCAGTAGGCCTGTCTTCATGCTGCAGTAGAGAAGGCAGTATGCACTTACCAAGACTGTCTGCTGCAGGACTGTGAAACTAGGGAAACGGAATGTTGGTTTCTCTGTCCTCTAAACCGAGAACACAGTCTCCAATCTTCCGTCAGGGGGTAATAACACATGGCCGTCGCCTGTTTGTTGCAGTGCTGAGTTACTCTGATGGCTGTCATGAACCCTGACATGTGTTACAGGATGCTTTAGAGTCTGCAATGAAAAATGGCTTATGGGGTCACGCTCTGCTACTTGCAAGTAAGATGGACAGCCGGACACACGCCCACGTCATGACCAGGTAGGGGCTCATCATCATGTTCCATCTGTGCCATGAGACTGTTCAGCATGGGCTCGGAGGCTTACCTGGCCCTCTTCCTTGAGTCATACTGCTGAGAGATGTAAAATTTTTTGTTAACTGGTGTTTTTTAATATTTTTCATCTTCACCTTCTGTACTTTTTATACTGGAGATATGTGTGTTTTCCCAAAGTGAGACCTCAGTCTGATCATTCAGTAAAAGGGCTAAGATTGGGCTTTGGTATTTTCAACAGAGCCAGAGTCAGGTCTTCCTCCTCTGTGTCTTGTTTAGGTTTGCCAACAGCCTTCCGATCAATGACCCTCTGCAGACGGTCTACCAGCTCATGTCTGGTCGGATGCCCACTGCATCCACGGTGAGCACCTTCTCGCGGCTGTGCTCTTGCTGCATCCACCTCTTGCTCTTGCTTTCTCCCTGGGCTCAATTGTTAGGAGATGGAAGTGCTGCTCTTCTGAGGATGAGGGTTTGTTTGGTTTCTTCTAATTGTAGTGTTGTGGGGACGAGAAGTGGGGAGATTGGAGGCCACATCTTGCTATGGTTTTGTCCAACTTGAACAACAACATGGACGTCGAGTCCAGGACCATGGCTACGATGGGCGATACCCTAGGTGGGTCAGGTGTGAGGTAGGCCATGGGCCGTGGTGCTAGGGACACCAGAGGCCTGGCGTCCCAGGAGCCACAGGCATTCCCTTGGGTGGGTATATCTGTGTGATGCCTATTGGGAGCATTCCCAGGGACTGAGGGAAGCTGCTCTGTCTCTCATCAGCCTCCAAAGGCCTCTTAGATGCTGCACACTTCTGCTACCTTATGGCCCAGGTTGGATTTGGGGTTTATACAAAGAAAACTACAAAACTTGTCTTGATTGGATCAAATCACAGGTAAGGAATCAAGTAGATGTAGCGGTATGCTTTCCTTCACAAGGAAAACGTCCCTCTCCTTTAGTCTGGAAACGACAGCCTTGTATCTTTGTCCCAGGGTGGGCCACTTCTGGGTGACTTGCCTCAAGGGTGGTTGTATGTGGCAGAGTAACAATTTCCTTCCTCAACAGTTTGCCGTTTTTAAAGTTTGCCACAAACGAGGCTATTCAGAGGACAGAAGCCTACGAATATGCCCAGTCACTTGGAACCCAGACCAGCGCCTTACCTCATTTCCAGGTAAGTGGGATGGGTGCCTGGTCCCTAAAAGCTTGTGGTGGTTGAGGTTTTTGAATTCTTAAGCAAATAATGGTGAGGGGTTTTGGATATCCTCTTGGAGAGATAAGTTGATTTGTGTTTTCCTCAAAAACTAAACCAAATGGCATTGAGGGCTTTTTAATTTACATTTTGGTTCTTAAGATTTTATGTATCATCTGTTCATGTGTCTACTTATTTATTTATTCATTTACCTGTTTGTACTGGGGATTGAATCCAGGAGTGTTTTATGACTAAGCTATATCCCCAGTCCTTTTTAGTCATTTTTTTGAGATGGCATTAGACTAAGTTGCCCAGGCTGGCAATCCTTCTGCTTCAACCTCCCAAGTGGCTGGAGTTCTTAATATTTAAAATATTAAAAAACTAGAATCCTTGATTTCATATTTGAAATTCTACACTCTTTTTTTTTTTTAATCAGAGCTTTGTAGTTATCTGTTTTTAGCATGGGGTCTGTGTGGTCTCACACAGGAGAGTGTGTATGTATGTATGTGTGGACCTTAAAATACCTCAGAGGTCGGGGACTGGCACTGTGGTTGATGGCCTTGTGGGTGCTCTTTTAGTGGTAACAAGATGTACAGAGCAGTCCACAACTGGCGGAGTGGCATGGGAAGGGGTGGAAAGCCCCCAGGTTGCAGCCTTTCTTGTGTTCCAGGTGTTTAAGTTTATCTACTCCTGCCGCCTGGCTGAGATGGGGCTCGCCACGCAGGCCTTCCATTACTGTGAGGTGATCGCCAAGAGCATCCTGACACAGCCCGCCGCATACTCTGCAGTTCTCATCAGCCAGCTGGTACAGGTGGGTCTCCTGTGCTTCCCACTGGTGCTGTGCTGCCTGTAGGAGACCTGTGGGCACCCAGACATGAGAACGGGGAACGGTATCGGGAAGGGTGGGTTTGTGGCAGATGTCTGAACCTGCATTAGAGACTTAAGCTTTCTTGGAAGGTGTTATGTGTTCTGCAGTCTTAGCATAGGATTTCTTCGGATGCCTTGTTGCCAGTACAGAAACTCAGTGGTAAGCTTCAAAATAAGATGCATTTTGAGGGAGTTTGGTATGGTGGTTGAGACAATGAGCTTCGGGTCTCAGTCAGCATCTGTCTGTTACGTGGCAAACCCTAGCTTCTGTACTGTCCTGTGGCGAGGTGCATGGCTGGTGGCCAAGGGCAGGAACAGAAGCCCTCAGACTCTCCTACCTTGTGATGGCCCCCAGTGCTGGCACATCAGGGTGCTTCTTCTCCTTCACAGCTCCATCTATGTGCTAGGGAATGTAATACTTAAGAAATTTGTTATTCTGATAGTTTTTAGACCTATACAAAAGTACCAAGAATAATGAGTGAATCCCATATCCTCACCCCAGCTTCAGCAGGCTTGTTGCATCTATGCCCTGTTATGGTCCGTACTCTCAGCCAAGGCTCACACAGGTTCCTAGGTCCACTAAGCACTTGGATGGGGGCGTCATGTGCAGGATCAGGCAGAGTACTGACGCACCTGCCCCAGGTGTGGCACAGGCCTTGCTGGTCCACATGCTTGTGAGTTCGTAGGTCTTCAGACCTCACCCTTTTTGTAGGCTCTATCTGATCACCAGTATGGTTGGTTTGGGGTGTCACAAGCACACTGTTAAAAAGTGCAAATCAACATGATTCCAGAGCACTGTTCATTTGAAAACAATTGTGAGGGCTGGGAATGTGGCTCAATGGTAGAGTGCTTGCCTAGCATGTGCAAAGCCCCAGCAACATGCAAAAACAAACAAAAAAAAGACCCCAAAATGGTTTTGCTCAGATTCCCTGATAGTGACAGGTGCCTTGGCTTTGGTTCTAGATGTCTTCCCAGTTGCGCCTCTTCGATCCTCAGCTGAGGGAAAAACCGGAGGAGGAGTCCTTTATTGAGCCTGCCTGGCTGGTGCAGCTGCAGCGTGTGGAGAGGCAGATCCAGGTACAGTGCTGGCTTTTACAGCAGCACAGCCTCGTCCAGGACTTGGCACAGAGACTGGACAAGAGGGTCTGTGCCCCTGTGGTTGTTACCTGGAAAGTATTTGATCTCAACAGTGTAGGTGTAGCAGCATGCATGTTGTTAGAATCTCCTCATTACTCAGGAAGGGCAGTGGGCAGTCCTGGGCTGCTGAGACGTCATCCATATACCTGACTCTGTTCTCTTCAGGAGGGTGCTGTGCCATGGAATCAGGATGGGGCCGACCCCCAGGAGTGCCCCAGCACTCCAGGCTCTGAGGTGGATCAGTTGGATGCCCCAGTGCAGGGTCAGCCATCGGGGTTGGGTGCTGACCAGCCCCTGCTGATGCCGAGCACCGAACCCTCCAGCCAGGGTGTGCATCTGCTGGCCTCAGGTGGGACATGCAGCAGCCCGTGTGCCTGCTCTCTGGGGTCTGCTTCTAAACAGGGAACATCTCACTATGCTAGCAGGAGTTGAGACGTCTCACTATGCTGTCAGGAATTGAGATGTTGTACATTTCCAGGAGGGCTTTGGGGCCCCTCGGTTACCCACTGGTTTCTCTTTATGCACCTTCCCTTGGCAAGCCCTTGAGTTGCTGAGCTTTCCTCACTTGTCTGCCGAAAGCAACCCTCCTGCCTGGCCAGGCCTGTCCCCTGAACTCCAGCTGCCTCACCCATGTGCTTCTCTGGGAGGCTCACAAATGCCAGCTCAGACAGGGCCCTATTGTGCCCCACCAGCAGCCTGAGGAAAAGGCAGCATTCTTCCAGGAGTTAGGGTCCATACCTTTCCCTCGTGCCCCATACCTCTGACCTAGATGACCTAGATGATCTTCTTGCCTGATCCCACCTCACCTGAGAAAAGACAGGTCCTCAGGACAGCCCACAGTCCTGTGGGCTCAGCCTGTAGCCCTGCTGATCTCACACGCTGCCCCCCAATCCTGTCTTCCAGTTGTACTTCTGTCTTGGGCTGCTGCTGGCCCTGCCATTCTGCCACCTGCTCTCTGCCAAATAGCCAGCCTACTCCATCTGTAGGCTCCCAACCCACCCTGCCAATTCCTTGGTGCTTGCTTTGTTATCTGACTGGGTCCCTCCATCAGAACTCTGCTTGGTTCGTTGTATCCAGGGCCCAGCTTGGTGCTGTCAGGCCCAGGCCCTACCCATGTGCAGAGTTGGGGGAGGTGTAAGGGTGAGTAGACTGCTTGACTCCTGGCACAGGAGGGAGGACTCTGGGCCTGTGGCAGGCAGCCCCTCACCAGCCTGTCTTCAGGGTATGCTGTGGGTTGGAGCCTGTGCCCCACATCACAGCTGGGGACAGGTGCAGGCATCTGTTCTGCCCTTGGTCTCCCAGAAAGTGAATGCTCTGCTTTTTGTCTAAACACTGACAGCCCTTGATAAAAGGAGAGAGGCTATGCAAAAGAACCTGTAACAACTATGAGTGACATGCATTCAGCTCCCCCATGTGACCAGACCTCCTCTTCTCCATTGTCCCCTGCAGCTCCACAGACGCTCCCTGATGGCCAGCTGGCCCACTCTGCCAGGGTGCCGATGTTCCCAGTGTCACCACCCACAGGAGCCCTGGAGTCAGGTCCTGGCTGTGGACCCCCAGTGTCTGCAGTTGGCTTCCCAGAGCCCTCCAGACCTGATCCTGCAGCTTTGTACCCAGGGCTGGGGTTGCCACCTGGTGTACCATCTCTCCAGGAAAGTGGCTCCCTGCTCCAGGAGACCAGAAGCCTGGACCCAGGTTTGTCTGCTGAGGTGCTGCTGTCCTGAGAGCAGCACCAAGGTGGCCTTGGTATTCAGGGGTGGTTGGTAGAGGAGACTGGACCAGAGCTCTAGAAGTTACAGGCCAAATGGGTTAAGGGTCTCTGCAGCAGGAGTGCTGCTGCTGGCTTCTGTCATGACTTGGCTGTGTCATGACATGAAGCATAAATGGCCACTCAGGGTACGAAGAAATGGCCTTGGCAGCTTCTCAGGGTCTGCCCCCAGGCTGTCCTTCTGTGTTTCTGTGGGATGCACAGGTGGACGTGGCAGACTTTGGTCTGGAAGTTGGATTGGTGGAGCTCATCCCTGCTCTGTGCCAACTCGTTTTGCCTATTTGAACAAAGGAAAACTTGGGCCTGACTTTAAAGAACAAAATAATTTCCCCGAATTGGAAAAGCCTTCAGTCTTGGTTTTCCCAGCAGAGCGGAGCCACGAGTCTCAGCTGGTGTGTGTGCTGGGCCAGCCCTGCTGCCCTTGTCCAAGCCTAGAGCCCACCCAGTTCTCTCTCTGCCTTGGCAGGAATGGTGCCACAGGATGCGCCTGTTGGGAATGTGTTTCCCAAGCCAAGTGAGGAGGACTTCGGTGGAAACTTTGCTGACCTGGTACTGTCCCCATCTTTTCATAACTACTTGTTCTCCATAAAGCTCACTGAGTAGGCACCTAGAGTCCACACTTTTCAGTAGCAAGTAGGAAGATCCTGAAGATTTTTGGAATTACTTGTTAAATTTTTATTAAAGACAAAGGGCTCCCAAATCACTTTAACCCTTAAAGTGTGAAGAGAGATGGAGACATTGGTTTTGTACAGTGTTGTTCCAACATTCTAGAAGATGAGCTTTTGTTCTAAGTTCTATTTTTTTTGGAAGTGACAGGGCTTATTATACTTGAGGCCCTGTGCATGCTAGGCAAGCACTCTACCAACTGAATTATATGAATTATATCCCCAGCCCCTTTTGTTATAAGTTCTTGACTTGAAATATATCCTGTCCTTGGAACAGTAAAGCAAGGGTCCAGCATTTTGGAAAGCAGAGTCCTAGCCCAGGAGTGACTCTTTTTTTGGGGTACCAGGGATTGAACTCCTGGATTCTTAACCACCCACCAAGCCAGATCCCAGCCCTATTTTTTTTAAAATAATTATTTTTTGTAGTTGTAAATAGTACCTTTATTTTATTTATTTGTTTTTATGTGGTGCTAAGAATAGAACCCAGGGCCTCATGTGCTAGGTGAGTACTCTACTGCTGAGCCACAACCCCAACCCCCACAGCCCTATTTTGTATTTTATTTAGAGACAGGGTCTCACTGAGTTGCTTAGTGCCTTCCTTGTGGTGAAGATGGCTTTGAACTCGTGATCCTCCTGCTTTAGCCTCTGAGCTGCTGGGATTACAGGAATGTGTAACCATTCCCAGCATCAGGAGTGACTTTTAAAGGTCTTGTCTTAACACACACACTGCCTGGCTCTGCCTGGGCTTGTCCTCAGTGCAGCCACTGCTCCTTCCAGCTCATGTGGAGTGCTGGAGTGGCTTRCTCAGTGTAGCTGCCACTTCAGAACACACAGAACTGGGCTGCTCTCACCCTTTCCCCTGCCTGGTCCATTTGGTGGCCTGCCTCACTTGGTTCCCCCGAGGAACCTGAGGAGAGCTAGCTTCCTTTTTGCCTTTGAACAGGGCTCCTCTAGGACAGCACAGGATGCAGAGACTCCTCCAGCCTGGGATCCCACCAGCTCAGCGTCAGCACAGTCTGCTTCTTCTCTGTCACCTGCTTCTGAAACAAAGAGGCCTGCACATGTGGCCAGAAAGGAGACCAAGGAACCCAAGAAGGTATACTACAGAACTACCCACCGCACTGTCCTGCTGGGCAGGGAGCCTGGCCTCTCGGAGGCAGCTTTCTTCAGATGTTGGAGCAAGGAAAAGGTGTCTGCTTGTGTTTTAATTAAAGTAACACCTGAAGTTCTGCTCTTGAGATGCAGCATGCACGCCATTGAGCGTAAGGCACACAGCAGCTGAGTGAGGGTCTTGTGTGTGCGTGTGAGGTACGCACCACATGGTCAGTGAGGGTGGCTGAGGTCCCCAGAGTGCCCTTGTGGTTGTCACCTGTCAGAGCAACCCCAGAACATGACTGGTAGGAGTGGGGCAACAGTCTCCACCTTCTGGGTGTTGTGTGATAGCTCCTGTCATATGTGCTGCATCCTGTCACCCTTCTTCTCAGTAATGGATGTTTGGATGGTATTTGTTTTGGGGTCATTGTAAATAGAGCCACGTGAATGCTCTTGTCTGTCCCTGATGTCACTGTACTTGCTTCTCCTGGTGTCTCCCCTTGAGAGGAGAGTTTAGGCTTCAGGGATGCTGCTGAACGGCTTCCCAAAGGGTGGTGCCAAGTCCTCCGCTCATGGTGGCAGAGAAGTGTTCCAGCAGTGCTGTGGCCCTCCAGGCCTTTGGCTCTGGCATCCTGCTGGGTTGCGGGAGCTTCGCTGTGGTCCGCTGGCCTCTCTGAGGAGCACCTTGCATGTGTTTTACCCTCTCCTTTTTCACCCTGCCCTTTTTATGGTGCTCATTCCAGTCTCTCTCCATTTCTAGTGGGGCATCTTAGTGACTTGTGGGAGTCCTGCCTGCACCATGGTGCAAGTCCCGTATTAGGTACATGTATGTGAATGTCCCCTCCAGGGGGTAGAGAGCTTCTGTGCTCCTGATGGTGTCCTCCCAAGAGCAGGGTGGCATTGTTTTCAGAGGGTTCCGTTTGGCAGGACTTAACTTGAATGGCAGGTGTTCTGAACATGAACACGAGTGATCAATAGATGAATGGAAAGACAAAGCGCAGTGCTTTGCACGGTTTCTCAGTGAGCAGGCAGTGACAGTGCTGAGGACAGGTTGTCTCTGGGACTGCTGGAAAAACAAGACTGGAAGTGTCTCTGGCTACATTGCTTTTCTCTGCTTTTCATTTGGGTTTCTTTTGGGGTGCTAGAGATGGAACCCAGGGCCCTACACATGCTAGGTAAGCTCTACCACTAGCCATGCCACAGCTCTGTGTGTATGTGTGTGTGTGTGTGCACGCACGCGCACGCACACACCAGGGACTGATCACAGAGACACTTAACCACTGAGCCACATCCCCAGCCCTTTTTATTTTTATTTTGAAGCAGGGTCTCACTGAGTTCTTAGGGCCTTGCTAAGTTGCTGAACTTGTGATCTTCCTGCCTTAGCCTCCTGAGAGACTGGGATAACGTATGTTCAACCACTCCTACTCAGTCCTTTTTAATAGAGACAAAGTCTAGCATGTTACACATTAATTACATTGCCTCTCACCCAAATTCCCTCCACCTGGGAAACCAAAGGGCCTTTGTTTTAAGGCCCTCTTGTCTGCTGTTCACTCCTCAGGTAGAGAATGTCCAGGACTTTGTTCATCAGGGTTCAGATGCTTAACCTTCCCAAAGGGATATTGTTTTGGATTTTATTTAAGATACACATGGGGATTGGGGCATGGCTCAAAGGTGAGCACTTGCCTAGCATGTGCAAAGCCCTGGGTTCCATCCCCAGCATTGTAAAAAATGTGTGTGCGCGCGTGTGCATGCGTGAACACAGCATCCCAGCCTCTTTGTGCACAGTTCCATGCACTAAAAGTACGTGCACACTATAGCACACGCTGTGTCCTCCATCTTCCCAGACTGAACAAGAGTCCTCACGGCCCTCAGCCTCTATCCCAAGCCCAACCTTCTGTCTTCTCTCTGGGCCCTACTCCTGGTGACCTCACATAAGCGGATGGCATGGTGTCTGTCTTTTGGGGCTGGTCTTGTTTCACCAAGTATGGTGTGCTCACGGCTATTCTGGTGGCTTTATCTTCAGAGTGAGTCCTGGTTCTCTCGCTGGCTACCTGGGAAAAAAAGGACTGAAGCTTACTTGCCAGATGACAAGAACAAGTCGGTGAGTCTTGCAGAGATAGCATGGTGGAGTTGTGCCTGTTGCGGGCTGCACAGTGCTTTTCAGATTCAGAGCAGGCTTGAGAGAAGCATCCTCAGTGATGAGACGCTGATGGCTTGACTTTTCACTCTGCTGTTTATTTTTTGTCTTTACTTTCTAAATCCTGGTAGATTGTTTGGGATGAAAAGAAGAACCAGTGGGTGAATTTGAATGAGCCAGAGGAGGAGGTAGGCTGTGATTTTTGAGTGTTTGCTATGAGGGGTGGGTGCTTGTTTGCTCCTTGATACTCTGGCATGTGGGTCCTCCTTTTGAAGAGTCCTGAGTGGATTTCTGAGCTGTTTCTCCCTCTGCAGAAGAAGGCTCCACCCCCACCTCCAACATCGCTGCCCAGGGCTTCACATGTGGCTCCCCCTGGGCTTACAGGCCCTCCCACAGCCTCCGTGAACATGTTTTCTAGAAAAGCAGGTAATGACCACAGCTGAAGTCAAGGAGTCTGTGTGGTGTACTATCCTGCAGAACTGAGTTGTTGCAGTGTGCACCAGCGGGGTGTCTGTCCCAGTGCTTTAGAGAAGATGAGTTTTATGGAGAGGAATCCTTGAGGGAAAGAGTCTAGTTCTCCAGTGCAAAGCATCAGCATTGATAACCTATGGGCAGAGGTGTCCCATGAGTCAGAAACACAATCTAGAGCTGTGTGCGGTGGCAACAGCCTCTAATCCCAGCTACTTTAAGGCCAGTCTGCGTGACTTAGTGAGACACTGTCTTAAAATTAAAGGTGGGGGTGCAGCTCGGGTAGAGCTCTCCTAGGTTCACTCCCTAGCACCAAAAAAGAAAAACAGAAACGTAACCTATTTGATGTTGCGAGTGGAGCAGGCACTTGCTGCTGGGCAGGAGCCAGCCCAGTCTCCTCTTGGGGATGCCCTCCTCAGAGGGTCCATGCTCACTCTGATATACTTGGAAGGCAATAGCTTAGATGCTGGAAACTGCCTGGGCTGCCTGCCTGAATCTGCTTTTCCCACCCCTTGGCAGGCGGATCCAGAGCTCGCTATGTGGATGTGTTGAACCCGAGTGGGGCCTCGCGGGGTGAGCCAGCTCCTGCTCCTGCAGATTTCTTTGCTCCGCTTGCTCCCCTGCCGATTCCTTCTAACCTGTTTACACCAAGCCCAGGTAGGCAGCAAGGGTGTGAGCGGGTCCACATTAGCCCTCTTGTCCCTGACCTCTGACACCACCCTCTAGAAGCAGGACCCACTCAAGGTCATGTTCTCCATGCTCTGGCCTCCCTTCGATGGGGGCCCCACATGGACTGGAGCTCATGCCTTTGGGTTATAAAAGATGCCTCGGATCGGGGTGGGGTGATGGCCTCATGCCCCCTCTCATTCACAGATGCCGAGGAACCACATTTTGCAGAAGGAGCTGGCAGGGTAGGACCAGGGCCAGCTGGGGCTCAGGCCAATTTAGAGCCCACCACAGAACCCAAGGTAGGCAGAATGCCATGGGAAGGTGGGAAGGGACTTGCAGGATGATGGCCCCATCCTGCCACACAATGCCCCCTCTATGAGTCAGAGTCCAGAGCACACACATGAGCATGTTTCGACTTAGGTGAGATCCACAGGAAGTGCAGGGTGGCAGCCAGGAGCTGGGAGCAGCAGGCAACAGCTTCCCTTGGGGAGGGTGAAGTGGCTGTGGACGTGTTGATGCACTGTGTGTGCTCAGAAAGACCTCAATTCTTGGAGTGGGTAATTGCCCAATTTCCTATTTCCTGGGCAGATGTTAAAAGCTCTGCAGGGGTCACTCCCTGGGTCCTGACTCCCTGCTACAGACTGGATGCACCCAGGGAGGAGAGGAAGGGAGCATCTGGCACAAAATTCCTTCTGGGGCCCAGGCTTGGCCAGCTCGTGTGCCGTAACCAGTGGCCCTTTCCTTTGAAAATGCACACGTGCACAGGGAAAGGCAGCTTAGGGTCTGAAGTGTAGAAAGTTTGTTCCTGGAGGGGCACTTGTGTGGTCACCATGTTGTGGGAGCTCCAAGGAGGGCCTTCCTCCACCAAGGCCTCCTTGGAGTGGTACGGAGCTGTAGGCTGAGGGCTGGACGATCCCCAGTGCCATGCCAAGCCAATGGTTGGTCGGTCTGTTCTTTCTTTCTTTAAAAATATTTTTTAGTTATAGTTGAGCATAATATCTTTATTTTGTTTATTATTTTTATGTGGTGCAAAGGATTGAACCTGCTTCACCTCTCTAGAGCCTTAGTTGCCCCTCTGTGATGTGAAAGTGACAGTAGTACCAAAGTAGCAGCTCACACATGCTAGGCAAGCACTCTACCACTGAGCCCCAGCCCCAAAGCTTGTTTCTTAACAAACACTTTAGATTGAAAGAGGGATTTTAAGCTAGCGGGCATCTTCCCTGTCTGAAGCACATTGTTTCTGGTGGCCTCAAAGCTTTGTGAAACTGAGCTGTAGCTTGGAGCATGACTGCCTCTGGCATGTTCTTGCTGTTGGCAGCGCTTGCACTGCAGCTCAGGGACACACCATTGCACGGAGTGAGCCAGCTTGCAGACCAGGTTCTGTGGCTGGCAGTCCTCTTTCTCCAGATCTCGCTCTCGTGGCCTTGCCTTTGGCCTGCCTGTGCTGGGCTGTTCTGGGCACCTGTGACTGACACACCTGGTCCTGTTCAAGCACTACTGACCAGGGATGAGTGTTCCTTTGGCTGCCCAGCCCTCCTGGTTAGCTGTCCAGATACCCCCATGACAAGACCCACCCCACGGTGTGGGGAAGCTTGAACACGCTTTGTGTTCTACTTCTTCTGCACTGGCTTTCCAGAGAGTTGGCCTCGGCCCTGGTTGCACTGACCAGGATGCCTGCCCTCGGAAGAAAGATGGCTTCTTGCTGGTCAGGTGTGAGGAAGTCTCCTGCCATCCGTGGGAGTGTAGCCCTCCTGGCCATTGTGCGGCTGGTCTGGAGAGGTGGAGGAATGCTCCACCTTCAGTGTATGTTGAGAGCCAGGCTCACTCTTGTCACAGAGGCTCAAGGGACATTTTGGCTGCACATGAGACCCTGGATTCTGCTCATGCTCCACCTCTGCCAGCTGATGGGCCACCACCAGCAGCCTCTCGGGGCTGTGCTCTGTGTGTCTTCTAAAGTTCAAAGCATTGCACTCTGCATGTTGCTTTTGTTTTTGCGATAGTCCTGTGAGCCATCCAGTAATGACACCCAGTGTTGCCAGTACTGTCCCTGTTCTGCACCTGTGGCTTGTTTGAGAACATTGGCAGTCCTTCCAAAGAGTGGCCCGTGTCTGCAGCTGGACAGCAACTGTTGTGTAGTCCTGCCTTTCTGAGGTGACTTCTCTGTGCTTTGCAGGCTCCCGGTGACCACTGCCCTGCAGGGAATCCTCCCAGTGGAACTGTGCCCTTCTATAGCCCTTCCCAGTTGGCACAGGTGAGTGACCTTTGCCTTTCCTGGAGACAGTCCCAACTGGCCTGTTGGCTTGTGACCCTGGCTGCATAGTGGAGGCCTCTCTTCTTCCCAGACTCTCAGAGTTGCACAGCACAGGTGTGAGGAGGCAGCTGCTCCCCATCCCGTTGTCCCTCTCTTCCTTGGTTCTCTCAGGACTGGCGTCTGGCCCCTTTTCTCCTGAGCTGTCCTGTGTCATTGCTGCTGGGCTCTTCAGGTTCAGTGCTTTCTTTCGGCCTGCTGCTCAGGAGTTTAGGGTTTGTCTCACCCCCAGCCCACCTGGAACTCTTGCCCTGCACTGGGTGGACCACAGGAAGCACTGTGTTCCTTCCCTGGGTGCTGGCCTGTGGTATGTGGCTTTCCCAAGTTCAGTCCTGTGTGTCTATGGCACTGCTGTCCTGGGCTGAATCTGGCCTCTGGGCAGCAGGCTCCCATGGGCCCTTTCCTGCCTCATCCTGGGATGCAGACCCTGGAGCTGGAGCCCCTGGTTTGGCGTCTTTCACCGTTGCCCTCTGCTCCACCCCTTTGTCTGGGGGTGCTGTCAGGGCACTTTGCAGCCCGGGTGCCTTTGCCCTGGTGGTTGGGCTGTTGGAATTCCTGACAGTTTCTTTAGAATCTAAGGTGTTCTTGCCATTTTCTGGTGCCCACTGTTGGGATTCCAGGGTCTTCATCCTTTCTGAAGCTTGAAGGGAAGTGTCTGCCCTCCGGGGCCTCTAGCTCTGTGTTGAGGGTGCCTACGTTGTGGGCTGGCCCCCCCCCCCCCCCCCCCCGGTGTGCTGGCCTTTGTGTGCCTCCTCCAGGGAAATGTTCAGAAGTACTCTTTGATTTCTTTGCCTCTGTCTTCTCTCTCCAGTCTCTTGCCTTGGAGTGTGGTCTGGCTGCCATTTCAAGGGAAGTGCGATAGGGGAAGAGGTGTGGGTAGGCATCTTGGGATTCCAAATGCGAAGCTCACCTGGCTTTGTTGTCAACTGGCCACCTGGCCCACGGGGTCTTGATCACATTTGTCCTGCGGGGTGTTAGTGTTCCCTTGATGGCCCTGTCCAGATGAGGTTGTGACCCCCCAATACTGCTGCGTCCCCAGTTACATTTGCATCTAGCTGCTTTCAGCTTCAGATGATGTGACTTCCTTCTCTTCTTTTCACTTCATCTTGTACTTGCCTCGTAGCTTTGCCCCGTCCCTTGCCTTTGGTCCAGCAGGTGTCAAAGAGGGGGAGGAAGGTCTGCTCTGCCATTGGTGCCTGGTGGCCTGCTCCATGTGTAGTAGGGAAGCCACCAGCCACTGGCCACCACTCAACTCACCGCACATTCAGCTGCGCCAGCTCTGCAGAACTGGCCTCAGGTCTCATGGCCCTGACAGAATGAGCCACTGTGGAAAAAACCCTCTGTATATTCCCATGTACCAGGAATGACCAAGTGCATCCACCAAGGCCTTCAGGGTGGTGGGTGGACGCACAGTTCCCCAGTTAGTGTCCATTTGATCTGAGTCAGCAGTCCCTGTGGCTCGTCCCACTAACCGGCCTCCTGCTGCGTGGAACCTGGTGCTGCTCGTCCTGGAGGTGGGCACGCAAATCAGTGCTGTTTGTTCTGTTCCAGGCCTCCACCAGCTCAGGGAGCTCAAGGCCAGGGAGGATTGGCCAGAGGAAATACCCGGCACTGAACTAGAGTCATCCCCTTTTGGATTTGCACTTGGAACCCTGAGATGACTGTTCTCCACCAAGAACTGGACGGACTGCCTAGGGTCTCCTGCCCCCAGTGGATATGGCAGTACCTCAGAGCCGGTCATACTGTGCATCTCCTCCTTACTGTCCATCTCTATGAATTATTGCAAAATTAATTCCATGATTCCTTTCAGATGCTGGATAGAGTGAATCTGATTCATTTTTACATGAAAGCACGGTGTTCCTTTCCTAGTCGCTTAGGGTGATCTGAGAATGTGACGCTCTGAGCCTCCTGAGCACATCCCATGAAGCAAGGCTGGACGGGGGTTGCCACATGAGGCAGTCGATGCTCCTGGGAAACCAGGGCCTTGCTCCAACCACCTGACAATTATTGCAAATGAACCTACAATTCCTTGAGGATGTTGAGAAAAAAGACCTAAGAGGAGCCTCGGCCCCGCACCTTGCAGGTGCTCACAGCTGGGGAGACAGGTCCTGACCTCAGAGTGCATTTCTCTCTGGTAATGAAGATATTTCCAGCCTAATTGGGATGCCTGACCTGGTCACTAGGAGGAGCCCCAGAGAGCTGATGTAACCAGCCAGTGTGGGTCTCCCTTCCTGAGTGTTAGCTTGCACAGACAACCTGGCCAAGGAGCTGTGCAAGCTGCACCCATATGCCGTGCCCCTTGGTTGGTGTGTACCAACCAAGTTGGTACATCTTGAAGGGAGGGGCTTGGAGTTTTCCCGACAGACCTCTGGAGCCTTGGTCTCTGCCCCAAGTGGAGACCTTCAGCAGCTTCAGGCCCACCAGGCCTCCCACTCTTCCCAGACAGCTTTAAGGCTTCACCGACTGTTCTTAAAACTCCTTATTCTTGTTGATCTAGAGACTGAAGGAAAGGGGAGATTTAAATATTTATAAAAATCAGTAGGTAATAATTTGGGTAGGTTCTGCTGGGGGAACATAAACGGTTTGGCATTTTTGAGTTTAAGTGTAGAGATTGTAGAATGTGGAATTAGCACAGCCCTTCCCAGTTTTCTGGTTTACTTCATCATCTAGGAAAGACCCCCCAGAAAGTTTCCAGACTGCTTCCCAGGCCAGTGTGCCTGGACCCACCAGTTCCCACCACTGAGAGGTGTGCCTGCAGGGACCCTCGCCCTCCAGAGCATCCCTGCTCAGGATGTGACTGCCTGCCACTTGATCCAGGAAGCTCCCTCCGAGGTGGGAGCTGCTATTTTTCCTAAATGCAAATTGTTAAATAAACTATTTTGGGCTCTCAAGTACCTTTTGTGGTTTCCTGTGTTTGCTGAGAGATTAGTGTGGAGACACCGGGCCTGGGGCGTCCCATGGGTGCTGCTCCGGTGCTCCGTTGTCGCTGYCTATCGGTCTGCCCGCGGCACCCTCCCTCCGGCGGGCGTGGTCCTCCGGCCACCAGGGGCCGCTGCTGTGGCGCTCGGGCTGCGGGGCTGCGGCGCTCGGGGCGGGGCCGGGGTGACCACTGAGCGGGCCGCGTGCGCTGACCCCTGGGCCACGTTCCAGGCCGCGCTCAGCCCCGCGCTGGCGCGGTCGTTGCTGCGGGCGGCCGGGGCCGGCCCGGCCCGCGCCCTCCCCGGCCCGCGCCCGGCGCGGTGGGTGGGCCCTCGGGCGCCGGCGGGGCCTGCGGGGAGCGGCGGGCGCAGGTGAGCCCGGGTGACCCGGCCCGTCGGCCCCACTTGGCCCGGGTGGGGCGGGAGGGCTGGTGTCGCCGCGGCACCCGGAGGTGGGCCCAGGGGCGGGGACAGGCTTCCCCAGCCCAGGGAGGAAGCGCGGACCAGCCCTTCCTGGATGTGTCCCTGGCTGTCACCAGCAGCACCACGGACATCCTCCAGGACAGCAGGCCCGCCTCCCTGGGGAGACCTGGGACCCCTAACAGCAAGATTTCTGGGATTTCCTCCAGGCCTTGGTGACTCCAACCATGCAGGACTGCCCTCCCCAGAAGGACCACCCCAGGCCAAAGGGGGGCCTCCCAGCTTCTCTCCTCTGCTCCCCGTGACCTCCGACTGTGTCCCTGACACCTGAGTTGGTGGCAACTTAGGGAGGAGCTCTCTCAGAGGGCCAGGCTGCTTGGGTGAGGGCTCCCGCACCATGCCGACCAAGGCCACGTGCCTGCGTCACACAGAGGCTCCTGGGCAGCTGGAAGCCAGAATGCTCAAGGGACGGCTTCCCGGAGCAAACAAAGACCTCCTCCCAAGCCCTGGGGCCCTGCCCACTCCCCACTGCCAGGACCCTGAGAAGAACCCCGTGCCTTCTTTCAGCGATCCGGCAAAAATCAGCAGTGAGGACCCCCAAGCCCGGGCAAAACCCACCACCCCTCAGCCCCCCACGAGGCCCAGGCTAGAGCGGACCCTGTCCCTAGATGATAAGGGCTGGAGAAGGAGGCGTTTTCCACGGAGCCAGGAGGACCTGGCCACCCAGGGTGGGGCCAGCCCCTACAAGGGCTCCCAGCAGGACATGGCCCCCCAGGCCCCGGCCCACAGTTGCCCCCCACCCTGCCTGAGCACATCTTTGCAGGAGATCCCCAAGCCCCGCAGGGCTGTGGGCAGCGAGAGTGGGAGCCCCTCTTCATGGGGTAACTGTCTCTCTGGAATGATCAGCACCTCCCTGGAGTTGCTGCACAGGGAGGCTGCCCCAGCTGGGAGCTCCCCGAGGCTGGCCATCCTGTGTCCCCCTCGCCCGCCACCCACCCCGGATCTGAACGTGGCCTCCAACTCCCCAAGGATGGCAAACAAGGTTGACTCCGAGCATGCCGACCACAAGCACCACGCACAGCCCAGGCTAGTACGGGCCCACAGCAGCCTGGGCCCCAGCCGGCCACGGAGCCCCCTGGCCTGTGACACCCACTCCCTTCATTCAGCCAAGTCTTCCTTCAGCCTCCTGGCGCCCATCCGCACCAAGGACGTCCGGAGCAGGTAAGGCTGCTGGGAGGGCAGTCTCGCCATGGCCTGTTTTGGTGCTGGGGAGCAGGCTGTGCAAGCATTCTCTTAAGGAATGCCTCACGTGCAGGCAGAGAAGAGGGCAGGTCTCCCTTCAGCAGCCATCTCCCATGTGACGCCAGGTGTGCGTCCTAGACACGCTGCCCCTCTGCCTCTGGGCCTCTCCTCCAGGACTTTCCTGCCTGATCACTGCACCGAGGCAGGGTGCTCTTGTAAAAGATGGCGCCCCCATGCTCCATGCCTGTGCTGGCTGGCTTGCATTTTGTGCTGGTGGTCCTCCAAGTGGAAGGTGGCCTCCTTCTGTTCTGCCTTGAGTGTTTTTCTGTTTAACCACTGTGTGTGAGGGACATTGGGCAGCCATAGGCTACCTGCAGTCCCTGCCCTGGGGGGCTCTGGGCACAGGCTGGCATTTCAGCAGGACCCACAGGCTGCAGGCAAGAAAAGGCTCTGCCTCCCAGGGGAGCGGCAGCCTGGTGATGCCTGGAACCACAGGGACTTCTGTGCTCTGCTTCAAGACCTGCTCAGCGCTTGTGCTCCAGCCCTGCTCTGTCCCCACAGCTGAGTGGAGATGTCACACCCTGGAGGAGGCATATGCCCTTGGTTCCTGTGTGTGGCTCTCTGTGATGTTACATAGAGTTTCATAGCTTGAAAAGAGGCTAGTGCCACCCCAATGACACTCCTGTCTGCCTGACTCCTATCGTAACCCTAACCAAGGGCCCACAGAAGACTTGGGCTCAGCCTGTCAAAACCCATGGCCTCTTCTCCTGAGCCTGGTCTTGTCCTAGGAGCGCTGCCTGCCCTCAGTGTTCCGGTGCCATGCTGCTGGAGCAGGGGTGGAGGGACTGTGAGCAGGCAGAGCAGGAAGTGCTTCTTGTAGGGTTCCCAGTTCTGGAGCAGAAGTCCAGAACAAAGGCTCCCAGGGCCTCAGGGGCAGCTGGCTGATGGCTGCCTCCCTCCAATCTACCTGTGTCTTCAGGTGGCCACTCAAGGACATCAAGTCCAGGGCCCACCCTAAATACAGTTTGAGAGGGGGCAAGGGCGAAGTGCCGCTAGGGCACAGTGGTGGATTGGGAACCTGGGGTGTGAGGGAGCGGCCAGTGGCATGGCTATCCCAGCCCCAGGAAGAAGCACACTCCAACCCCACCCTCCCCCATCTCAGGCCCACTGCTCGCCTGGGGCTTGTCTCTGTAGCAGGATCAGAGAGGACGAAGATGAGGGGAAAGTGGCCTCAGAAGACGCAGGCCATGCCCTTGAAGAGCGTGAGAAGCCTGCAGTGTCCATGAACAAGGGCTCTGAAGAGTCCACCTTTGCTAGTGCTGAAGCTCCACAGGCACCAGGGGTGCCAAGGCCCCAGGAGCTGAACCAGCTTTTGTGTCCTGGTGTCTCTGGGGCTGGCATGGCAGACTTGGAGCCTGCTGGGCGCTCCCAAGGTGGGAAGGAAGTTAAGTCATGGGATTACAGGGATGTGAGAGGCAGAGCAGTCAGATGCAGGGTGGATGCAGCCTGGAAACTGATTGGAAACAGCATGGCTGGCCCTGGCCTGGGCAGGCCAGACGGTTGAGCAGGTCAGGCCTCGGCAGAAATGGTAGAGCAGGCACACCCTCCCTGTCCATGGAGATGGGCCCTCCAGATTGTGGAGAAGAGTGGCCTGTGATTAAGGGGACAGTAGCAGGGACCAGGTAGAGAGGAACTGGATTATCGCCTCCCATGTCCAGACACTTTGTGGAGGGACACGTGTCTAGCCACTGCCTGTCCTACCAGTAGCAGGCAGAGACCAGATTACATATCTAAATGGCTAGAAGAAAATCAGAACTTGCAATACTTCACAGTGATGCCCATCCCCTGCATCCAGGTTCCATGTCTGTGATGGTTTTCAAGGCACGAGTGGCCCTTGAGACTTTTGCACCGTGGTGGCAGAGCCAGCGGCTGTGACCTACGGGTGGTCCACAGAGCTGCACACGCCTGGTGTCTTTACAGGCAGTGTTGGAGACCCTGTGGCAGGAGAGGCAAGGGGCACCTGCAGTAGGGTCAGCGGCTTGCCGCTATTTCCTGTGGCCCCGCGGCATTGTGGTGTGCTATGACGTCCATCCCGTTGCAGTTGGGTGGTTGAGATGGCCTCCTCTGCCTTCCTATCCTAACCTGTCCCACTGTTTTTGACCTGGGGAGGAGTGGAGAGCCAGGCCCCTCCCTGAAATACACTATGTCCACCCAACCCTATTCTCAGCACAGAGTTTGGCTTTGCTTCTGTGACCTCCCAGAACCTTACCTACCAAAACAGCCCAAAGTGATGTCCCCATCCTCAAGGAGGGAGCTGTGTGGCTAGCAGCAGGCACAGCTCACTCTCTCGGAGCAGGCAGGTTCTCATGCGTGCTCTGGCTCAGGGAACCCGGACTCAGGGGGAGATGGTGCCAACATTCTGTGGGGCTCAGTGTTGCCCCTCTGGGCCCAAGCAGCCCTGCTGCTGGCCTCAAGTCTCGGGGACTGGGAGCCCAGAGAGCATGTCCCTACAGCCACTCCTCCTGGCTGGGCACTGAAACATTCTGCCTCTTCTCTGCAGGAGCTACCTGGAGGGGAGTCTCCTGGCCAGTGGGGCCCTGCTAGGGGCAGATGAGCTGGCCCAGTACTTCCCAGACCGGCACATGGCCCTCTTTGTGGCCACCTGGAACATGCAGGGCCAGAAGGTAAGAGTGCAGGGTGGCGCCTGAGCAGACAGAACTGCTTCCTGTGTGGTTCTGCTCTTGGGAGCCAAGGCCCGATGCCCCATCGCCAGTCCCAGCAGAGGTGTGCAGGTAGAGCAGGGAAAGCACACTGTTCCCTTGAGAGGGCCCCTAGTGCCCACCTGCATCTCCCTGGCCACCAGCTCCATGAGGGGCCAGACAACCTACCTGGCCAAGGTTGACTGTACCTGAGGGGTAGAGAGGCCTAGTGGCAAGCAACACAGACTAGATGCCAGATGCCCATCAAGCACACGGGGGGTCACAGACACAGCCTTGGTCAGTGGGGAGATGGTGATGGACAAGCTTGTGCTCGTGCTCAGGGAGGAAGACTGAGGCAGAGCAGCCTGCCTAGACATGAGGCCTCTAGGGTGTCAAGGTCCATGGGACATAGAAACCACACCTCGGTATCAACTGCAGTTGATAGCCTCAGTTCCCTCGTTCAGAAGGGGTGCCCTGCAGCCACCACTGGGTAGTGGCACAGGTGCTCCATGGCTTCTGCCCAGGCCTGAGGAGCCAGTGGCCTTGATGTAATACTATCTTGTGCTCCTCTCCATAGGAGCTCCCGCCAAGCCTGGATGAGTTCCTGCTGCCCACCGAGGCCGACTACACCCAGGACTTGTATGTCATTGGGGTGCAGGAGGGCTGCTCTGACAGGTAGGCACCGGCTTGGGCCCCCTCCAAGCCCCTCGGGCCCAGCAGTATCTTCTGTGGACAGCAGTGCTAAGACAGGCCTGAGTCTGAAGCTGTGGGCCTGAGGCCCCATGTGCTAATCTCCATGCCAGGCTGGACATGCAAGTCGGTTTCTTTACAGATACTGATGCAGATAATTTGAGATTGGCAGTTTTCATTTTTTTGTAAACCAATAGTTGATTTACAAAGCTGTAAAGGTAGCAAGGAACAGTGCTGGATTTTTTTTAGGCCACTTTGGCCCTCCGCAGGCTCTTTGTTGACCCAAAGGGCCGTCCTGACACAGGATGTAGCCTGTGGACATCCCAGTGAGTTCCTGGGGCCTGTTTGGCACGTACTGTGGGGAGTGGGCACCAGGCACTGTAAGGGAGACCCCTGCCCTGCGAGCCCAGCCAAGCAGAGGGTGGGACAGAGGTGCTTGTGCGGGTCCCACAGGGATCTAGAACAGAGGCAGGCTGTTCGAATGGGACTTGGCCTCAGCCCCAGGAGGTGGCCTTCCTTTTGCCCATCCACCATTCTCAGTGCGAGAAGATGGAGCTCAGTCCTGGGGAATCCCCAGGAGTCCTTTTGGGGGCTTTCCAGCTGTGCTCCCCCCACCCCAGCTGCCTACTTCTTTCCCACAGGCGGGAGTGGGAGACACGCCTTCAGGAGACACTGGGCCCCCGCTACGTGCTGCTGTCCTCGGCAGCCCATGGGGTTCTGTACGTGTCCTTGTTCATCCGCAGGGACCTCATCTGGTTCTGCTCAGGTAGGCACCATGTCCCACAGCCCCAGGTGCACTCAGAGGGTGGTGGTTCCACACAGGGCCGCTCTCAGACAGATGTACTGGTCCTCTGGGACTCAGCCCTGGAGACTGCTGCGTGACACGCAGGCACAGGAATGCACACAGGCACAGGTGGCGTGGGGCCTTCGCACAGGTTCACTGAGGCTGTCCACCCCACCCCTCACAGAGGTGGAGTGCTCCACAGTGACGACGCGCATCGTGTCCCAGATAAAGACCAAGGGGGCCCTGGGCGTCAGCTTCACCTTCTTCGGCACCTCCTTCCTCTTCATCACGTCCCACTTCACCTGTGAGTCGCTGTCAGCCAAGGCCCTGGTTCCCAGTCACTCTGCCTAGATAGGACCTGCTGTGCTCAGCACAGCCACGGAGGCAGAGCTATCCAGAGCCTCACAGCAGATGACAGGGTGGGGTGGCCAGGCAGGTCCCTAGGACGTGTGTCTAGAAACCCATGTCCCCACCCATTTCCATCCTCACAGCTGGTGATGGGAAGGTGGCCGAGCGGCTGCTGGACTACACCAGAACCATCCAAGCCCTGGCTCTGCCTAGGAACGTACCAGACACCAACCCCTACCGTTCCAGTGCAGGTGAGCTGTGCTTGGCAGGTGCCTCGGGCATCTCCTCGTTTGTTCTCTGCCTGGTTTAGCAGGAACTGTTTAGGGGTATGAGAGTCAAAGTCAGGAAATCACAGGAAGTCACTTGGTGCTGCTGCACAGATGGTGCGTGGACCTGTGAGACCCCCAAGTCCAGCTGGGCCACTCTTGCTCACCTGCTAGCTGGGGTCTGCATCGTTACCACCTACCCTCCAGGGCAGTGAGGGTCTGAGACAGTGGCCAGTTCGCTATGAGGGTCACTGCTTAGGTGGCTTCTGGCTTGTCTACAGCTGTCCAAATCTGGACAAGCCAGAAGACCTCACTGCCTGCCTCCCCCACTCCCACCAGCTGTCCTGTGATTCTTGGGGGAGGGCACCCAGGTGGAGAAGCTCCATTGCTCGGCCTGGGGTTTGTGCATCTGTCGCTGTGGCCACAGAAGGGGAGACTAGCATGGATGCACTTTTCCCTGTACCCAGCGGATGTCACCACCCGGTTCGATGAGGTGTTCTGGTTTGGAGACTTTAACTTCCGCCTGAGTGGTGGACGCACGGCTGTGGAGGCCATCCTGAAGCAGGGCCTGGATGTGGATGTGCCGGTACTGCTGCAGCATGACCAGCTCATCCAGGAGATGAGGAAAGGTGAGCAGCCTGGGGCTGGCCAGCACGTGTGGGCTTGTGCTGATCTGAGCTAGCCTGTGTTGCAGGGTCCATCTTCAAGGGCTTCCAGGAACCGGACATCCACTTCCTCCCATCATACAAGTTTGACATTGGGAAGGACACCTATGACAGCACCTCCAAACAGAGGACCCCCTCCTACACGGTAGGCACCCAGGCCAGCCTCTACCTCCACAGGATGTCCTCAGGAGAATGACTTCTGCCTTGCTCAGGCTGGCACTCAGGAGCCCTCTCATGCACACCACAGCCTGCCAGGCCAGTGACCCAACCTCAGAGTCTGTTTTGACTGATGGTGCCCTCCTCCAAAGGTGCTGCAAAGCACAGGCAAGCTGGCCCTCAGACACGCTCCGAGTGCCAGGACAGCCTATGCCCCATACTCTCCCAGGCCACAGCTTGTTCTGCAGTCAGGGATCTGGAGGGAAGGTGGAGAGACTCCTGTACAACTCGGCTCCCTGCCAGACCTGAGATCCAGTACTGGGGCAGCTGTGGGGGCAARGCAGCGCCCCATGGCTCCTAGAGGGCCAGGAGGAAGCAGGCACCACCCCATAGGTCTCTAGAACCCCAGCAGTAAAGCGCTTGAGGGTCGTGGCTGGAGGGTTGCTATGGGACACAGCTGGGCAGAGGCAGGCAGGCCAGGCCTGCAGCAGAATGGCACCTCATCAGTGCTCCTGCTATCTCTTCTGAAGGACCGGGTTTTGTACAGAAGCCGCCATAAGGGCGACATCTGTCCTGTGAAGTACTCTTCCTGCCCTGGGATTAAGACATCTGACCACCGCCCTGTCTATGGCCTTTTCCGGGTGAAAGTGAGGCCTGGCCGAGATAAGTGAGTATCCCCTGTGCCCGGCTCCCTCCCAGGCTCTGGCTGTGGCTTGGGCTGGGCAGTAACATGCATTGCAACAGGCAAGGTGGGTGAGGTGCTGGCAGCCCCTGGGGTCCAATGTGAAGTTGCTGTCTAGGGAGCTGCTCCCAGTATCCTCAGGGTTGCCCAAGGAGGCTTGTCCTGTGACCTCAGGACCAAGGAAAGGGAGGAGGAGGCTTTAGGAGTGAAGTCTTCCAGTCTGGCTGCTGTCTCTCCCAGTGGGCCCCAGGGAGAAGCAGAGCCAGCCCTGAAGGGCAGTGTGGCTGGCGGCCTGGTGCTTGGAGGCCGTAACCCTCAGGTAGCCCTGGGGCTCCATCCAGGGGGCACCCTGGTCCAGGACGGCACCTGTGCTAGGGAGCTGAGGCATTCCTAACACTGCTTCTCCCTCACAGCATTCCACTAGCTGCTGGCAAGTTTGACCGAGAACTGTACTTGATAGGAATTAAAAGACGGATTTCAAAAGAAATTCAGAAGCAGCAAGCAATAAAGAATCCGATCCCCAGTGCCATCTGCACCATTTCCTGAAGTTGTTAGAGGAGGACCTTTGACCTAGAGCGGCTGGAGAAGACTGCAGTGTGTGCTCCTGACACCTGTCATTCATTCTAGGGTCCTGATGCACTGCTACTAGGGCTGCCCTACTTTCTCACCAAGAAACCCCCAGGCCAGACTGTGCATCCCGGGAAGAAAGCTGCCTTCACTTACTTGGGCAAGCCTGTACTTAAGACTTGTCCCCACAGGCACCTGGGGGGCTTCTCAGGGTATTGAAACTCCCATGACCTGCCTAGTGCCACAGCCTCTCCCTCCATTCCTTCATTTTCGGCTCCATACCCAGAGCCAGTTTCTATGTCCCACACAAGCTGGGCCCTTCCTCTCCACACAGGTGTATGGGGGTCAGGCCCTGAGTCTGCCCTACAGCATGCTGAGGCCATGTTGGGGTCATGACAGTTGCCCTCTCCCAGGCCTTGAGCCCTCTCTTCCTTGGGCTGAGGCCCATGTGCTGATCCTATCTCCCCCACCCCCAGCTGAGTGAGGGCCACCTCCCCTCCCTCCAGAGGCCAAGCCCAGCTATGTGCTGCCTCCGTTTTAGTGATCAGCAGACCATCTGCTTTTGTGACATCAGCCACAGGGTGGTGTTAACAGAGGTGGTACTTCCTGCCCTGGACACTTAGATTGGGCAGGGAAGCCTAGCTGGGGACTCCGTTCCTTAAAGAGGGCTTTGACCACATCATTGCTCTTTGAGTCTTATATTCTTGACAAGATATAGCCTTGAATGTACAGAGATCTAGGGACATCCACTCTAGTCTTTATTTATTTTTCCATATTTATATTTTTAAATAAATGCATATATAAAATCTTAAAAACTCTTTGGCCCAAAACTGAATGTTGGAAAGAAAGTCTGTGTGCACACCCTATTCTTACAGTGTTCTTGTTTTAAAAGGCCATGGAACACAAAGGCAGGAAACTGACTCGGCTCGCAACTGCTGACAGTCTTGTCCCAGTCCCTGCTGAGCATTCCTCCTGCAGGCCAGAGGCAACGCAAGGGGAAGACTCGGGTGGACTGGGCTGAAGCCACAAGCAATCCCAGCGAACACTAAGACTTCTATTAATATCAGCTTCCAAAATATGGGATATAAACTTTAAAGCAACGCACCAATGTTTCTGATAAAGCGGGAGAGCGCCCACCATTCCACTTCAATAAAAATTCAATGGTCTGCATGTGTATTTTGCTCAAAATGAATCTCAAGTTCCAAATCAATGAACTGAAATTTTTGTTAGTAAGATTCCTGTGGAGCCAGCCTTGGAAGGAGGAAGGTTTTATAGGTTCTTTCTCAGGCCATTTCTGCCACTGGTGCCTCTGTCTTAGTCTGGCCTGAGTTAGAGAGTGCTGAGCCTAACAAGGTAAGAGGTCAAGAGCATACTGATGGACTTGATACATTTAGATGAACATTTCACATGGCAAATTAGTCTAATAAAAAATTCAAATTAATATAAATGAAGCTGGTGAATTATGGAAAATAGGCTTCATAAAGAACCAAGTAAGGACTAGGCATGATGGTGGTTTTTAAAATGGCTCTTGTTCTCTCAAACACACACTGTCCTTCAGCAAGAGTCCAGGTGTAGCCAGCCCCTGTGTGGCTACTAGAGTTCTCAAGAGTTCAGGACCAACTACACAACCTACCTCAGGAAGTGCCCATGAAGGCGACTTTGAGGTGCAAGTTAGTGTCAAAGGGAAGATGAACAGAAAAGGGGTATGGCCAGGGAGGCTGAGAGGAGGGAATGGGAAGGACTGGTGATGTGGGGCACAGACCCTGAGAAGAGCAGCCTAGTGGGTATGTGGTTAGGCTCCCAGGGTGAGGGGAATGCTCAGCAGTTGTTGAAGACCTAGGCCAGCACCCCTGCTCTGCCCCAGGTGCTCAGGGCACCTGCAGTGGCATCCTTCCAGCGAGAACAGTCACCTGAGGCACACTGGGACATCCCCAGGCTCCAGTCCCAGTTGACTGCGTTCCCACCAGCAGGCATCAAGCAGACCCTTTCACTGGACGCCCAGGGTGAAGGTTCCAGGTGTCCAGAGTGCAGTTGACTACAGGAAAAGAATTCAACAACAAGCACACTCAGAAGCCAATTCACAAGCATGCCCAGAAGCCCAACTCCCTTGAGACATGCAGTCCCTCTATCTGCACTAAGAAAGGGCCACGCTTCCTGGCTCTGCAGACCTGGGGACTGCTCCCATCCATGCAGCAGCACACTGCAATGCCATCCCCCTCCCCTCTGCTGCCACCATCAGTTACCACCGGCCCTCAAGTACAAGCAGCCCCAGCCCTGCACTCACTGATACCCTGGGGCAAAAGGCTTTGTGACACTGGGTTGGACTGGGTGATTCCTCCTAGAGCAGGTTACCAAGGGCCTTTCCCAGCACCCTTGTGCTAGAGGGTGAGGGAGAGCAGAAGGATAAGAGACAGTCACCATCTTATTAGCAGGAACGGGCTCAACTGCTTCTGCTCTGCTCAGTCAGCGTGCCCTTCAATGCCTGCCCGCCTGCCTTCCAGCTTGGGGGACAAAGGTCATGTTTATTCCCAGCTGGCAAATTCCAACCTCAAGAGTGTTATGACTACTGCTAGCTCGGTTTCAAAATCCTGGTGTTCACACTGTTCACGAACCACACACATCTCCACTGAGTTCACACCCAAGGCAACTCACATGGAGACACCTCCCTGCAGCTGGGGTCCCTGAAGATCCTGGAGGCCTCTACCGAAAGAGCCGGTAAGTTCGCGGCAGTCGCCCATCTCTGCTGGCCAACGCCGCCTGGATGTGCTCGTAAGTGGGCAGGTTGGTCAGATCCCCCAGGGCGGCCACAGCAGGCTTCCCACGCAACATCTTAGTCGCAACCCTCCTGACATCTTCTGGCTTCACATTGCCTGGTGTAGAGTGAGCGAGGATGTCAGGCAAGCACAAGCAGCTCCCCACAAAGCCACCACCACCATATGGCTGAGGGGCTCACTGCTCCCAGCACCTGGGGGGGCTGCTGAGGGCTCCAGAGGGTCCAGCAGCAGCAGGGTGGACAAGGGCAAGACGGTCAAAATGACAGTGCAAGATTTTCTTAGCAAATGGGAAATGTCGCGATGGCATGCCTACTTCAACAGAGGCTGCCGTTCCCAGAATAAGGACTGCCTATCTAGTGGGCACGTGTGCAAGGGGTCCAAGGAGGAGGTTGTACTCCTCGGGGCTGCACCTCTGCAGGAGCCACCCTCCAAGAGGGGCCAGAAGCCACCAAGACCCATGTGAAGAACACCACTGCCCAGGAGCACACCAAGCAGGCAGCTTGACTGTCTACAGAAGACAAGACCCGAGACCACACCAGCCACTCGAGGATGGTCCTAAAGGAAGGCAGGGCAGGTGCCTCTCCCCAGCAGGAGGCCAACCCCAGGAGGACAGGATGGCAGTCTCCTTGAAACAGGTGATGCCAGCAGGTAATGCTCGGTCAGCGTGCCCTTCAGTGCCTGCCTGCCTGCCTTCCAGTGTGGGGGACAAAGGTCATGTTCATTCCCAGCTGGCAAGTTCCAACCTCAAGGGTGTTGTGACTGCTGCTCCCTCAGGTTTCAAAGTCCTGGTGTTCACACTGCTCACGAACCACACACATCTCMACTGAGTTCACACCGAAGGCAACTCACATAGAGACAGCTCCCCCCTAACAAGCACTCTGTGCCTGGCTTTAGCTGACCCCAGAAAAGCCGCCGCAAATAAAATGTGTGCTGAGGCACCTGCCAGACCCTCAAGGGCAGGCGCTGACCCAAGGCACTGCTGCTACACAATGCACTGCTCCCTTGGCACTTTTCAGCCACTGGTCCTCCTTGAAAACCCACGTTGACAACCACCCCTTCCAGGCTAGGTCAGGTGCTGAAGTGCCAGCTGACACGGGGTGAGACTAGAAGCAAATATGCACCCCAGCCCTTTGACTCCCTGCCAAAGTCACCTGGCAAGGACCAGGCCCGTGGGCAGGGCAGCCATGTCCACAAGGGGCACCCAACTATCCCTCTATAGTGGGGCATAGCCTCATCTGAGTTCAGCGTAGGCTGTGGAGGCTACTGGCTGAGAGCGTGTACTCACGGATGAGCGTGCACAGCTCATGGGGCAGCTTTCTGGAGCGAGTGGCCAGTACCTGCCTCCCCACGTCCTCAAAGATGACAGGCCTGGACTCCAGGTTCATCATGAGCATCGACATCAGCTGTGTCTTGGCCCGCTCCAGCTCCACCTGAGGGTCATATGCTATTACTCAGTTACCCACCTGATCACCAGTAGTCGCCACAAACTGGAAGAGGGACTGGTGAGAATGTGTCCCAGCACAAACGTCTTCCCTGTATGCAGTAATGAATACAAGAGACAGAGGGATGTCTGGGCCTGGGTCACCAGCACACTCAGCCAGGCTCAGCCACCAAGTTCTCTGGGCAGGAGCTGCACCTGAGAAAGCCTCTGCCATGCTCATGATGGAGAGAAGTGTGCCCTTGATTCTCCTTCATCTCTTGCCCAAATCGCAGCATGTGGGGAACACGAAATACCCAATTAGGGCCCCAAACCTGGCATACAAGAGTAGGAGGAAAATGAGAAAACGCAAAATATGTCCTGGGCGCAGACTCTCCCGCATGGGATCCAAGAAGCCCTGACTAGACGTGAACTTAAATTGTGGCTCTAAAGGATCAGTTCCATGGTACAGAATAGAGGATACAGTAACCAATCCACAAAACTACAACTATCTTATATTTGATAAAGGGGCTAAAAGCATGCAATGGAGGAAGGATAGCATCTTCAACAAATGGTGCTGGGAAAACTGGAAATCCATTTGCATC